AGGGTTTCTCTGACTGATAGCATTAGCATCATAGTCACAGTTGCCCTCTTTTTTTGGCCACCTGACAGTTGACTCTCTTTAGTAGCTTTGCAGAAGATGTTGGGCGACATTTTTAATTTGCTTCCACTGAAATGGTTTGTCTCGTTGCAAGGAAGCAGAAGCAAGTGAAAACACTGTAGCTACTTTCAGTTGGACTAAAACATTAAAGGACACTTTGAGACAATGGGACTATTAATTAGCAGACAAATTACAGTAGCACAGCTAGCATACACGCTCCTTAAATGGCTCTCTTTCTTGCTCAGTATTATACAGTGCCATATAAGGCATATTTAAACAGCATGGAATGAAGCAATATTTAGACACTTTTTAAAACACTTTTGTCATGTCTGCGTCTTCACCCTCACATCACAGTGATATATGATTCTTGCAGAGCTGTACTATTGTGCCACCTTGTGGTAACATATCCTCAAAAGCTTCTTGTATAGTTTTTTAAAACTAAAACATTTCTTCTTCTGTGCTGAACAAATCGACCAGGAAAGACAACCCTAACTTTTGGTAGAGATTTAATTTGTAACACAGTCCCATCTCTGGCTCTACGATCTTTCCCAGCTTCTTGTCGCTCTGACACCTCTCATACTAATGGACTGCGATACTTACATGAACCCTAATCAGAAACCTATAGTAATAACATTTTAAGTATCTCATAAGATGCTTTTTCTCTGTTGCACACAGTGGTCCCTGTCTTAAGATATACAGAAAAGAGCCAAGTTGAATTTTATGGAAATAATAATATCAAAAACATGAAATGAATGTTCCTCATGACAAATGGGTTTTTACACAAGGTGTTCTACATACTGTACTGACAACGAAGAGGTTTCTTTATAATTGAATTAGAGTTTTGATGTTCATTTGTCTTTTTTCTTCCTTTTACATCTCTATTTACATTTTTTATATGATAAACTTTACAAGCCAAATCTTGATAGCCTTGCTAACATCAGAGAGCAGCTTTGTGTACAGACCAATCAGATTCATCAGTCTTTATCACAGCAGAGATTTTGAGCTGTCGTAGCAGGAGAAGCACAAGTGGAACTAACATCACTAATGATGACTTGGTTCCAACAATGTGCCATGCAGCAATTAGCAATATTACTTATACCTGTTTTATGAAATAAGGAATATTCAAGTATAGTTTCAATCCACATTTCTCTCACTGGGCATGAATCGCTGCAGTGGCGCTGCACCGCACCAAAGAGGACCGGCCTCCAGGTTTGGGAACCTCATTTTTCTGTTCCCCTCGCCGTTGAAGAAGCTCCCACTGAAGTCTGCCAAGTCCCAGTTCTCATGTGAACCCCGTTGTGATCACAGGGAGGAGGCACTGTGGATTTCACATACAGGGGAGATGCCCCTCTAATGACTGCTGGGGAACCTCCAGCTGGATCACCCTGAAGTGCTCCCTTCATCCATGTCTCCTGCCCTGCATGACATCAACAGTTCCCTGGGTGAAAGCACCCCAGTCTTTGTCATGACATGTGTTTACAATGCCCTTCTGTTACAGAATATGGAAGCATGCCCAGAGATTATGCTGTGGGTACAATTCCTGGCCAAGTGAACTCTGCCCCCTGACGGTTCAACAATCATCTGATAGCCAATAGTTTAGTCAGTCAATTGATAAGCATTTGCTACAGTGAAAGTGAGCTTTCTTTATTTGATAAATGTTAAATACAAGCTTCTTTATGTGAAAGAGATTTATCAGAAAATGAGAAAATCCTCAGTCTTTTATTTCATCATGGAAGGCACAGGAACCTCTAAGATTTCATATATTTTATCACAACCTACTTTAGACAGTAGTTTTATATAATTTATTATATGAATGTGGTGTGCAGGTAAAGTCGAAAGATAAATACTGTCCACCAGTCTGTTTTTTTAGGTCAGGCCCGTGGTTTCCCTGATTCAGTCCTGAATTGTGCAGATATGTGGTAGACAGTCATAAGACACAGCGGTGTCTGTGTTGACCACAGGACACTCAGACAGGGCTCTGTTTGCCCAAGACAACTATAATATTTTCTCACCCATTTAGGTAGTGTGCTATGTATGGGGACTGGACCCCTGCTAGAGATCAGTGTCCTTGCACTAATCAGCAGTGTTTGTTTATAGTATCACTAAGATTAGGACTGAAATCAACAGACATGACCAATCCTTAATTCCCACAGAACAGTGGCTTCGTTCCAGTGATTGATTTTTGTTCAAGAGAATACTGATTGCCCCTATTTAGAGATTTCAACAAGCCATTTGTAACTAAACCAGTTTCATAAGTCCCTCAGCTCACTACCCCGTCCACACTGTTGCATTTCATTAGAATAATGCAGTGGCTTAATGTTTTTTCCTCATTATTGAGGACATGTAAAAAACTAATTGTAAGTGTAACTTTTTTCAAATCCACTCATAAACTTTAAACATACAGTTTTGCCTTTGTCATCTAAATTATAATAACAATCTTCCATCATGCAAGTGCATCAACAAGTATTTTTAGTTTCTCTGCGTGCTCCTCTAGTTTCTCCTCTGCTCTTTCCCCAGAGCTTCAGCTATGACAGAGCTCTATAATTTAAGACATGGATATTAGCATTATTATGACAGTTAAAAGAGTAGGCAACAATTTGCTGGGTCAAAGCAGAAACACTTTGTGAAAGATGACCCAAATGTTGAAGGTAGATTGATGTATGAAGGCTGGTGCAAATTGGATTTTGTGCCTGGAACAGTGAGGTTATTGCTACCAAGAATAAGGCAAATTAACTCAGGTATGAACACATCATGTACACTGAGTTGTAAAAGTATATGCACACTTAACACAGTTCGATACAACAGCCTTCAATAAACGAATGCAAATTATATGACAAATTATATGGCGGTATGTCACAGTTTCTTTGTATATGCAGCTACTGAATGGTTGGATTAAAGCCTCAGTGGGTGTTTTCTGGGTTTAATCCTAAAGGGACCTTTTTGCTACAGCAAATTTATGTCTTATGCGGTACAGTTCAGTTGAACAGTTGGCCTGTCTATAGTAATAGCTATACAACCTATAAAACCCTTATTTCCACAAATACTTTTTGTAAAAATACTGACAGACCCTCCCATATCATGAAAGCATTTTGTTGATTAATCCAGTGGAAATGTAAATAAAGTGGCAGTTCCTTTGTATTGAATTTTTGTTTGAAACAAGAATTTCCCAGTTTTACTATTACTTTAGTTTCTCTTTGCCAGTGCCAGGGTTCACTGTACGCAAATGAGGAGGACACCCTTACAGCCCACCAGGCCAACCACACCTGTAGCACTTAGGACTCAGGTTTATTAATGTGTGCAGCAAGCTTTGCAAGTCTTCTATGAGTCTGTTGTGGCCAGTAAAATCTTCTTTGCTGCTTTCTCCTGGGGCAGCAACATCAGAGTCAGGGACATCAACAAAATGAATAAAGTGATCAGGAAGTCTGGCTCTGTGCACACGGTACAGGAAGTATGTGATGTGACTAACGTAAAGCTAACAGGAGAATAAGGAAATTCTGAGTCAAGTGCACGTAATCTTGAGACGAGGTCAGACAACAGAAGTGACAAAGTCCACCTGTGTGGGTGGACTATGTAGGGGTTTTAACTCTGTAAGGTTTGTTTTTAATGCAAAATAAGTGAGGAATAAAACACTTTTTTAAACAAATTGAATAATATTTTTACTTTATCTGTATGAGCTGCTGGGCACCTGGCTCATAAATGCAGATTAGTTTAACTGTCCTGTAGAGACGCCTAGTGGCTACTGATAGTACCATTTCTTTAGGCCCCATGCCATGCTGCGGCAGCAGTCACACAGTTCTTTCTGTAGGTGGCAGAAACTGAAAATGGTCGATTACAGTAAAGTTATACATTTGTGATAGATGCAAAATTCAAGAAGGAACCCAGTTGCATGTATTTTGGGACTGTCCACTGCTAAATTTACTTTGGCTCAATATCTTTGTGTATAAACACTGGGAACCAACCATCCTTCCCTACAGGTTATTTTTGGATGAGTGAAGGGTAGGTACCCTATCACCTTTCTGTCATACAGTATGTGATGAGTTTTGTTGGTGGAAATATTGCTGACTAAAAAAAAGAAAACTCAGGTTTTTAAAGACCAGAGAACAGTTCTGTTTCCATACAGGTTCAAGAACCCGACTCTGCTTTGGAAAAACATACTTGTCCATATGGGGAAAAAATGGGGCACTTCAAAATTTTAAGGTAAAAAAAAATGAGGAATGACATATTTTTTTTTTTTTTTTTTTTTTTTGTCATTTCTGCAGCTGAGCAGGGATGTAAAGATGACCTGGTTCTGGAGTTTTTGTTTCTTGTTTTACCCTTTCTTTTTAACCTATACTTATTTCTGGAAAGAATATCTTCTTTGATGTTCCTTTTGTCCTGATCTCTTTTCCATTTCTGCTGTGACTTTCCCACAAACGCCATCCTTTTGACTTATTTAACAAACACAAACAGTCAATTGTATTGAGGATGTAATGTGTTCACTGTGGGTGGGGTGAAGTGGGGGTTGTGTTTGCTGTAACTAAGAAAATATTTCCTTGTTTAAAGATCAAAAGTGGAGGCCGTACATCATGTGTGAAGATAAATCCCACAAAATCTCTTATGACACAAAATGTCTTATTAACAACTGAACAATGGTACTCTTGTTTTATTTATTGTCAAAGTCAGTGTCAGGGGTCAGTATTAGCTTTAACTGCTATGGGTTAACATTCAGTAACATTCTGTTGTTGCAATCAACAGGCATGAACTGAGTCAAACTGAGCTGAACTGCTGATGGAGTTTAGCTGTGGCACTTTACCGTATTTCCTTACATGAACGATTTCCTTGTGGGTTAATAATTAACATTATTTGCTAAAAGGTTACACATTTTAACACATTCAATTTCACATTTTGCATTCATGTCGGCAACCCATCCAGATGCAAACAAAATATCTGGTCATTTATTAGATGGACACGCCCTAGATCTCTCCCTCCTTAATCGGCCTATCTTTACCAGATGTACACATATAAACACACCTGCTTGTATGATCTGAGCTACATGTACGCGTGTCTGTCCAGTTAAAGAGAAGCGACTCCAGCAGCACTCCTGTTCTCTGGTCATCCTGTCAGAAATGTCTGCAGATTACTTTGGTTGGACCTATATACGGAGCAATAATGCAAGAAACGCTACTTCCACCGTGGCTCTCAACAATCCGGGAGATATCAGCGTTATTGTGATTTACTTTTTGGTTGTCCTGGGTGTTGGAATATGGGTGAGTTGTTCAATCTTATAGTTAACCATTCTTCCCTGTGAATAGTTAACTCCTCGCCAGTTTTATAGTTGTGAGGGTTTGTTTTACTGGTAAAAAAAAAAAAAAATCAGTCAGTATGGAGCCACAGTGGGAAACGTAATGTGGTTTTATACACTGGAGATGTCAAATTAATTATGTGCTAATATAAGATGCAGCGGCGGTCAGCGCTGTTGCCTCACAGCGAGAAGGCCCCAGGTTCAAGCCCCGGCCGACCCGGGGCCTTTCTGTGCGGAGCTTGCAAGTTCTCCCCGTGCTTGCGTGGGTGCTCTTCGGGTGCTCCGGCTTCCTCCCACAGTCCAAAGACATGCATAGGTTGATTGGTGTCTCTAAATTGCCCATAGGAGTGATTGTGTGTGTGTGTTCGTCTGTGTGTTATTCTCGCCCGCAGCTGGCTGGGATTGGCCCCGTGACCCCGTTTGGGACTAAGCAGTTTAGAAAATGGATGGATGGGTCTTGTTTGAACCTCTTTACAACCTGCACTTTGGAGTAAATGAGAAATAATCAAGTTGATTTACATTGTGCAATCACAGTGTCTTGTTCATCAGCCTGGTTGAGCTGCTTTATAGCAGATCAGTGAATTTTTATGCTTCAGACTTCATATTTAGTAATATTTGACTACATTATACTGTTAGGTATTTTTAGTCGTTTAGATATTGGATAGATACTTTATGTATTAGAAATGTTTAGTGGAGATAGGATGTCTAGTTAGACTGTTAAATGCTTAGTCATGTTTATGAGTTTCTACAGGGTACATCTGGTCAAGGATAACTAGAGAGAAGAGTTGATGACTGTCAGCAGACAGGGTGTTTAATATTATTATTATGACATGTATAACTGTAGCCTTAGCCATAATATGTTCTTATGTTTAAGACACGACATGTTCTAGAGGTTGTGAGAATGTTTTTAGTTACACACCACTTAATCAACAGACATACACACACACATGGATTTGCTTCATGTTTTGACTACTGCTATGACCAGCTGCAAAGCTGGTAACAGAGACGTCTCGGTTGACGTTTCTGTGTAATATGGTGCTAGCCCAAACGAGGTGATATAATGTATAGGCCTGGTGGGCTCAGGGTCTTTCATCTTACATCTGCCTGCGTGCATGGTGGAGGTGCAAGATACTTGAGCGTGTAATGTTAATTTTACCTGTGATCCTTTGAATAAATCAGCACTGTTTTGAAGTTACTGGGACTGTCTCATCTCTCAGAGTTAGCAATGGTAAGACAAACCATATCCTACAATACGCAGTAATATTCTTGTGATTTGAGTGTTTTTTTAGTTGTATGTCATGTTCATTTACTGTCACAGCAGCTGTATATAAAAAAAATGTAGTCATTAACAAATAGTAATTGTGTGAGGATTTGTTGCTGTTTTGCAGATATTTTTACTGTTTCTCTAAAGTGAACCTTTCTCCTGTTGCAGGCTATGGTTAGCACGAACCGAGCCACAGTCGGTGGCTACTTCCTTGCAGGAAGGAGTATGGTGTGGTGGCCGGTGGGTAGTGCTCAAAATAAGATAAATAGCCATTAATGATATTGTAAAATATGATAGTGTGTGTCATAAATGAAGCACTTTTCACAATAACAGGTTTTATTGGAGTAATTACATTAATTTTATAGTACTTACTGATTTTAATGATGATGTGATGTCATAAACTCTTTAGCTGGAATTTCAGTTCATTTCCTGTAGACTTATCCTAACCCTAATACCTAAACACCTGACCCTAACCTTAAACCATGTTGCCACCCAGAGATTGATCCCCACAAGGAAAACCTCTGCATGTCCACCACTCACAAATTTAACTATGTACTCCACAGATCGGCGCTTCGCTCTTCGCCAGTAACATTGGCAGTGGCCACTTTGTAGGAATTGCCGGGACTGCTCTAGCCATTGGTGGATTTGAATGGAATGTGAGTGATTGTGTCCAGTGTGCCAATTATACCGTTATCACTTTTTTTTACACAAATGTGTTTCTAACCTGTGGCTCAGTTATCATCAGTTTTCTCTGTGGGGTGAGCTAGTAATTGTCTCACCCTGCAGAGAATGGAAGAAAACAGAACAGCAACTTTAGTCAACTTCATAAGAACATTTTCAGCAAATCTGGCATCAATTATTTACTGTTTGCGTTGTTGTATGTTTGTTTGTTCCAGGCTCTTATTGTGGTCATCATTCTGGGATGGCTCTTTGTGCCCATCTACATTAAAGCTGGGGTAAACAAAAAATAGGCCATAAAAACTCAGATTGTTTTTATACATGTACATATTTTTTCCCTTGTGGAAGACTGTGAAAATAGCCACATCAGTAAAACAAATACAAGTAAAATCTCATGGGTTTTGGATGTGTATAGGTGGTCACCATGCCTGAATACCTGAAGAAGAGATTTGGAGGACAACGTATTCGCATCTATCTCTCTGTGCTGTCCCTCTTCCTGTATGTTTTCACCAAGATCTCGGTAAGTCTGTCTAACATGTCATATGTGCCAGTAATGGATGATATTGACTGAAAAGATGATTACCCTCTCTCCTCTGCACTCAGGCGGACATGTTCTCCGGTGCCATTTTTATCAACCAGGCTCTTGGGTTAAATATCTACCTAGCTGTTATCATGCTTCTGCTGATTACTGCATTGTACACTGTCACAGGTTGGTTCACTTTGGATACATTAGTCTGTGTCCACCGATTTCACAGATCATCGTTTTACTCAGAAAGTAGTCTTATCTACTTTATTAATATCCTCATAAATGGGGGATAAGGGGATAAAGTCTTCTTAAGGTCATATGCAGAGAAATTGACACACCTGTCCACTATCTTCTTGGTTAGTTTATCTGTGGTGTGTTGTGGTTGATAACCCACAGACTGCCATTAGGAGGAAAATGGTTTGGTTACTGTTATGTAATGATGCATCCACACTTTATAGGATGAGCAGTGAAGCATTATAATAACACAGCTGAGATGAACTGGATCATGTACAGAGTTAACTCGCTCCAATAAGCTGTCATTTACATTAAAGGTGATGAAATGTGTTCATTTTGGTTGAAAAACGTATTCATTGGTAACATATTGTATCTCAGGTGGACTGGCTGCAGTGATCTACACAGACACCTTGCAAACCATCATCATGCTTGTTGGATCATTTATCCTGATGGGCTTTGGTAAGGTGTATTACTTTTCGTTACAATGACAGGATGAATCATGGTTGTGCATGGCATCAAACTGTTGAGAAGTAAAGCTCAATCTAAGTTAATCTAACTTCTTTTCAGCTTTCAATGAGGTGGGAGGCTTTGAGAACTTCCAGCGGCTCTACATGGAGGCCATTCCTCAACTGACAACTAACATCAGTGAAAAGTGCTACACACCTCGAGCAGACTCCTTCCATATTTTCAGGGATGCAATTACAGGAGACCTGCCCTGGCCTGGCCTGGTGTTCGGACTCACCATTCAGGCCACCTGGTACTGGTGCACTGATCAGGTGGGTGACCGGCGTAGTGAATGTACTATACTGTACCTGTGCTAACTCACTGATTGTAAACACTAGTACTTGTCAGAAACGGAGCGCAATGCGGCCGAAAAGTGTTAGGTGAACTCATTAAATGGCCAGACGAGGAAGTAATGAACAAAAACCCGTCTCTTTAATAAGAGAACTAACATAAACAAAAAACCATACAAAACACAGTGGAAACACAAAACTCACGGTCGGTATAACAGTCCGAGATCAGAGCCAGCAAACACATACATCCAGGGGAATCCAAAACGCGTTGACCAAAGATAAGTTCATTAAGCCGATACACAGAAGCAGTCCGAAATAAGAGGGCAAGGCAGAACAGAATAATCCAAGGTAACAGTCCGGGTCAGAAACACAAGATACCAAAACCGAAGGAAAGCTGGAGAGTCAGAGCCTGGGTCTAGAACAATCTGGCAGCGTCCTTGTGGGAGGACGCTGCCTAAATAGAGGTGTAAACAGGTGCAAACAATAATGAAGCAGGTGAAACTAATGTGAGTGATGAAGAACGTAAAAAGACCGAAACTAAGGTGAAACAAAAACAGGAAATAATGTCAAAATAAAAGCCGGACGGGAAGCAGCAGAACCGAATCATGACAGTACTGTATATTTGTAGTCATAAACCTACACACACAGACTCATTCATGTGATTCCCACACATGTATGTCCCTTTATCTAGCCTGATTTTATGAGACTAAATAGTCTGAGTTGGTCTGCTTTTACCTTAATGCGCTCCCAGACACAAAGATAAGAGAAAGACCGGTGCTGGATCTCAGTGGAGAGCTATAGATGATAATTCAACTGTTGCTATCTGGCACAAACACATTATGGTCATATTTTATTTTATTTTAGAATAGTGTGGAACATTTCTATTCATATACCCATAGATCTACTGTTGTTTGTATCATGCATTTTTGATCTTTTACCAACTGCTGTTTTTCTGTAGGTTATTGTCCAGCGCTGCCTCTCAGCCAAAAATCTATCTCATGTTAAGGCAGGCTGTATTTTATGCGGTTACCTAAAGCTGCTGCCAATGTTCCTCATGGTTTTCCCCGGGATGATCAGCAGGATTCTCTATACTGGTGAGTTTGTTTGTTTGTTTTTGCTGCAGTTCATGCACATCTTGTCGCAAAAATGATCATGAACTCAAATGATTGTTTCAAATGTTTCTGTTTTATTCATTTTATTCTAGATGTGGTAGCTTGTGTGGAACCAGCTGAATGTATAAAATACTGTGGCGCCAGTGTGGGCTGTACCAACATTGCTTATCCTAGAATGGTGGTGGAGCTCATGCCCAATGGTGGGTGACTAAAGACATTTCATGAGCTGAGAATGCAAACTGCAGCCTTTTTCTTTCCTCTCTCTGTGCTCTTAAACTTTTATTTCATTGATTTCAGGTCTGCGAGGTCTCATGCTGTCTGTGATGCTGGCCTCTCTGATGAGCTCACTTACCTCGATCTTCAACAGCGCCAGTACCCTCTTCACCATGGACATCTACACTAAAATTCGCCGCTCTGCCAGGGAGAAGGAACTCATGATTGCTGGCAGGTAAAACACATGTGTCTGGGCAAGGCAAATGCAATTCAAAGTGCTCAACACAATGCACACTGATGGAAAACCATCAAAATATTAAAAAGATAAAACATCAACATACATAAATAGATAAAACATTAGAATCCAAATTACATAAAAGCAACAGTTGCATGACAATGACACTTAGACGTTTAATATGATTTCTAATGATTGTTCATATATGACAGCCTATATCCGTATGTGCCTAATTGCTGCTACTTCCACATATGCATATAGAGTGTTTATCTTGGCGCTGATTGGTGTGAGCATAGCATGGATCCCTGTGGTGCAGACAGCCCAGAGTGGACAGCTCTTTGACTACATCCAGTCCATTACCAGCTACCTCACCCCACCTGTTGCAGCCGTCTTCATGCTTGCCATTTTCTGCAAGCGTGTCAATGAGTCTGTGAGTTGCCTCTTGAATTATCTTTTAGCTTACATATTCAAATGATAATACCAATTTAATATAGAGAAAATCTATTGCCTGTTACATTTTGGCACGATGGCAGTTCTGTCAGGCTATACTTGGATATGGTGATGCTTTGAGCAAAATGCTAGCGAGTACAGTGTTGTCAGTACATGTCATAATAATCTTTGTGTTGCATGTTGACTTGGAAGTTCCCAAGTCTCAGCTTGCTTCCTCTTCTAAAACCACAACATCCCCTTTTAAAATTTTGACTTTTCCTTTGATTAAAAGGATTAGATAAAATGTATTACTTAGCAAGGCTTAGAGGTGCTGTTATATTGAGAGTTTTTATGCTAAACAAAGCGATGTGATGCTAACTATAGCTTTACATTTATTCAACAAACTTGGGACCAGTATTAACGTTCTCATGGGGGGTAGGGGTAGGGTAGGGTAGAACCTTGTAACTCTCAGTAAAACAATCAATATAATTTAAATGCCACCTTGTGAAGATGTTTTTCTTCAGTGAATAGAAACACTGTTTTAATACAAATGTCTGTGTCTAAACTGGTTGTCCTGTTTCTTTCGTTCCTCAGGGTGCATTTTACGGCCTCACTATTGGCTTGTGCATCGGCCTGGCCAGGATGTTTACTGAGTTTGGTTACGGGACAGGCAGCTGTGTTAACCCCAGTAACTGTCCCACCATCATCTGTGGAGTCCATTACCTCTACTTCTCCATCATCCTGTTTGTTGTCTCCTGTATCATCATCCTGGGAATCTCTCTCATGACCAAACCCATCGCTGACAAGCATGTAGGTGATCGCTGGAAGATAAGGCTGGATAAATCAATATTGCCTAATCACAACCATTCACTTGAAGACACTGTCATGATAACCTTTATGAATATTTAGTTTCAACCCATGTGTTGTGTTTGTTTAGTTGTATCGACTGTGTTGGAGCCTGAGGAACTGTACAGAGGAGAGGGAGGACTTGGAACAGGATGACTGGGTTGATAACAATGATTCCGACTCAATGGATACAGAAGGTAAACAACAGCATAAACATACATGCAGTAGATGCATTCACACACACAAAAAGAGCGAGAGAAAGAAATACACACACCCACACACAAGCAGAATGTCCTCACTGTGCCTGTATTTTCCATCACAGAACCTAACAAGAAGCCTGGCTTCTTTAAGAAGGCATTGATGTGCTTCTGTGGCCTGGAGGAGAAAAAAGCCCCCAAACTGACCGAAGAGGAGCAAGCAGAGTTGCAGAGAAAGCTCACAGACACCACAGAGGTGCCAATGTGGAAGAATATCGTCAACGCCAACGCCCTCATCCTCCTTTGTGTGGCTGTTTTCATGCATGGGTTTTTTGGTTAAAAACTGATATTACAATGGTAGTGACAACATTCATTTTATAAATGTAAATTATTACCACATGGACTGTTCAAAAGCCTGCGCGTATGTTGTTTATAGCACATCCTGGATATGACGTATATATATATATATATATATATATATTGCTAGGGTAGTGACTATCTAAAGCTTAATATTCTACAGAAATGCTGTAAAAAATGGGATATATATTATTTTAAATAATGGCATATTCACACATCTGTATGCTACAGATTGTTCTGAGCCCCTGTACACCTGTAGACCATCCAGTGTCGTTTATGACTTTTCTTCCTTGTCTTTATCGCCACTTTTTTTTAGCATAAGCATAATGATAGAGGACAAGAGGTGGCTGCGTAAAACAGCTCCTGAATGACACAACAGGGTGCTTCCCTTCACCTGACAAGACTGTGGCCAATCTGATTAACGTAGCTGGAACCTATTATATAATTTGTGATGACAGCGGCATGTTCTTGTTCACATGAAGCCGATAAAGTAATCAGAATAGCTTTAGCATTAGCAGTAATGTATGTAAAGACCTTACTACACTTATTCTCACTCAACTGAAATGCTTCTTTATTGTCTGGTGGACTTTGAAGTTTACATGGGGATGTGAAAGTAAAGTGAGTCAGGTTCATTTTTATAACACTTCTTATGTGTTTTAATTCAGGTTGCTGATTTAAATGATAAAGAATTAAAAAGTGATTACATGACAAACAAAATGTCCATAAGTTTCCTGTAACATCTAACAGATGATGACGAGAGATACCTCATTTCACCAAAAGTTTGTTTTCTCCTTACATGTGTGCTAAGTTCATAAGTGCTGTCACCTTCTAAATCTATGCACCTTGCTGCATGTTGTTGTAAGTGTTAATGAATAAAAATGTTTCCAGAAAGACGACGTGTTAATCGCTTAGTCACTGTTTGACTATCTTTACTTAGCTCTAGTGGTCCTGTCAGGTTTGCTCAGCCACTCTGCCTCCCTCACCTTTCCTACTGTCTCTTGCCCCATTACTCTTATCACGTTCACCTGTTCCTCACTCCCTTCACCAGCTGCACTTGATTAGGTCACTCACTATATTACCCGGTTTCACTCCTCAGTCACTTGTCAGTTCTTTCTAGGCCAATTTTTCTCCGTGCATTTTCATTGTTTTTGTATGTATTTATCCCCTAGCCAGCTATTGTTTTGTGTTTTCCCCGAAGGACTGTTCCTGCAGACCGTGGCTCCACTCTCTCCTCCCAGGCAGGTCAATGCACAGTCGCCTATCTGTTTCCACTATTGCCTTCATCTCTCTGTCCCTACCTTCAGTAACCACCATCGACCAGCCCAGGAGTGACCCCACCTACGCAGCTCGGCCCAGCTCTCCATCTCCTCACCTCCTGCGGTTGGTCAAACACCCGGTTACTACTGATCTACAGGACTACGGATCATTTCCCTCTGTGTTTTTGTCATTCCCTTGTTCACTGTATATAATAAATCACTGTATGCACCGAAGCCGGCTACCTGGGTCCGCCTCTTTCCTCGTTCGCACACTGACTGGTGCGAACGGCTCCTATAGGTTCCCTGTTTCTATTGAAAATGCAAAATAGTTTGCTGTTTGTTTTACTAGACATCATATATCTGTTAAATTCTGCTCTTACTGAGGTAAATTACTCAATTTTTATGTACTTAGTAAAAATAAATGCTAAACACACGTAATCAATTTTACATTTATTGTAAGCCTTGTGAGTCGCTTTCATTACATCACACATTTATCGTCTCTTATCACTACCCCTGGGTTGACGTCACTGACTTAACATTACTAATGTGGCCTTGAATATGTGCACTGCTGTTAAATGATTTATGATTTCTGCCTTGGACTTGCCTTTGTTCTTTGTCATCCTATCTCCTTCATCCCTGTCTGATGCTCCACTTTACCTCCAGTGATTCTGCTGATCTGGTTGTCTGAGTGTAGCAAACCACAGTCAAAGGTCAACATGAAGGCTTGTCTTGCTTTCACCAATAAGAAGAGACAGTTCTGTGTGTCTGTGAGCCACATTGTCACTGCAGGGAGTATTGAGGAGACCAGACATGTTTTGAATTCTTTGAGTTGACTGTGATTACTATGACTAGTGTGACTGAGGGACATTGAAGAGGACAACTTTGAAAAATGAAAGTATTGACGGCATTCTTAATATTTAAGTCCTTTTTTGTACTCTATGTCTTTTTCTTTGTTCTTTGTAAGCTTTGGTGACCCGGTAGGCTCTGAACTGAGAGGTTTATCTAGTTGGCCCAGTCTGAGAAAGCAGTTACTGTATGTTTCACTCCGCAGGAGGGACAACATGAAAAATCTTCCAAAAGTAAGGAGTGCAGAATATCTCTAAAAGGACAATTAAGAAGCAGAATGTCCCTTTAATTCCTTAATGTACAGCATTTTCACATTATTCTCATTTGATGCCTTGTCCTGCCCTGAGCTGAATCCTATAGATGGACAAATATACAAAATGATTTGGCAGTAATGAAACAAAGGTGAACTTGTACATTGTTCTGCCAGAATACAAACACACTTGAAAATTTCACAATGAAGGTTACAACACAAGAAACATCTCAAATGGTTGAGACATGGTTGCCTTCTAGTGGCACAGAAAAGTCATTACACAGTGTAAAATATTGCACCATATACTATGTAGGAAACGACATATATTAAAATGGCCTCGGGCTTTACACAACAGCTAACTGTGCTGCAGTTATTTAGGTAGTTAGGCTTTAAGCTGAACCATCTCACATCTCAAGTTGATTTCAGTTAAAGTGCTTGTTCATTGCCAAATATTAATTGAAACATCAAATTAAAAACCCCTCATATGATTCTTATAACTTCATTTAAAAGGTGCTGATGACTGACAGTTTACAGTATAGCCTGTGTACAAAAATGAGGCCCATTCACTGTCCCCAGATCAGATTTATGGGCTTGGGGGATGAAACTGGCCTTTGTTACAGTGTATTTTCTAATATTTGTGTAATGTTGAAAGACTCTGTTGGTGCATGGTCTTCAAACTCACCTGGTGCTAGTAAACAGGATGGTGGGAGTTTATGTGCAGTACTGTTTTAGATACGTAGCTTAGATTTGATGTGACTACACACAGTAAGTTCTGGTACACTCATTAAACACTTTCTTCTTGTTCATACATGACTTATTAATGCAGAAAAGGGAGACTTAAAATAAATGTTAACTTAAGCCTTATCGTACTCATTAATGACAAAACATTACTGTAACATCTTGCACTGTAATTAATTACCCAGTCATGAATATGTAATGTTAAAAAGAATTATTTGTTTTAATGGATGCTGTGATTTTGAATATAATGCCACTATGGTTGATTAAAAAGAGTGCTGGATGAACGAGATGATAGCCAGTAGCCCAACTGCACACAAATTAACAAAATGAGGAAGTTTCAGTACATCACTGATGTGTGGCTCTTTCCTAAACCTTTTACATTTGTAGGAGCAAGTTTTTGGAAATAAAACAGACAATGCCTATTTAGTGCTCAGATTTTCTGTTATACCTCATGACTCATTGCCCCATTGCCTGTCATTATATTATGCATCTGATGATTACATAAGCATAACCCTCTTACATTGGCTGAATAATCAGGTCTTTTTTTCTGCTTTGAGGGTTATTTATTGGTCAGCATGAAGCTAGAGTAGATACAAAACACTAAAATCCTCATTATGCAACATTACTGCATGTGCAGATTTGTGGTGGGAGCTTAGGATGTTTTCTTCAAGTGTCTGGGTGAATTCACAAGAACTCAGTAGCATCAGATGTAGCAGTTATTTCTTTTTTTTCCAGACAAACATCTGAGGGATGAATGAACACAACTGACACCTTTTAATGTTTTGGCTTTGAGGCTGTGCTTGTAGAATCCATTTCTATGGTGCTCAGTGCAGAACATGATACAACTGTTTTTTCTAAGCCTCCAGTCAGCAGTTTAATACAACATAAATTTTGCGAGTGAATTTATGCTTTGTGTTTCCTTCTCAGATATGTGGCACTCTGAAAGCACCAGCTTTCTGCATTTCCTGCGTTTTTGGCTAGTGTACTTAGCTGTGTGTTTGTGTGTAGTAACATTACATATAGTGTATACTAATTTTTCTGTGAGCAAAGCTTTCAGGTCTCAGAAGGCTACATTCATGTTATGTGAGTATGCATATGTGTGTTGGGGTGGGGAGGGTGGGTAGCACTGTTAACGTTTCTCATTGGCTGGAATATTTTCTCTGGCAACTAGAAAGCGTAACTCTGCCTGCAGAGGCACTGCAGTGTGTGATGCAGCTTGAGAGAACGAATGAGAAAGAAAGAGAGGGAGTCTGTGTGTGTAGAGAGAGAGATGGGGGCGGGCGAGCAAAAGAAGCTGCATGCATAAGGAGGAAGCCAGAAGCACAGAGGCAGAGAGGGAGTATGTGTGTGCGCATGTATGTGTGAAAACACTGCGCATGTGTGACTGTGAGGCGCACTGACTGAGGCAGACAGAGGAGGAGAAAGAGGACTGATGAACTGAGTCAAGAGGAGAGGCGAGAGAAGAGCAGAAGGAAAGGAGAAGAAAAAAGACACGACCAGGAAGACAGAGAAGGGGTTGAAACACAGCACAGACACTCAGGTCACTGCACAGAATAAGCTGAATACTGCGAGAGAAACAGAGGGATGATGAAAGCCATACCAGAGGGAGACGTTCAGCCACAACTCATCTGAGAAAGACTAGGTGTGAGGTACCAGAGAGGAGAGGAGAAGAGGAACTGGGGATGTGGCGCTCGATGAAAGCAGCCTGAGACATGACGCCTCCACCTTGCAAAAGCTTCCTCCATCTTACATCTCCTCCATCCTTTCTTCCCTTCACTGCTGCTTGGTATTCTTCCTGCTAGAAACAGTGGGCAGTAGAGAGTGTCCTCCTTCTGCTGAGACGTTCCCCCCAAACAAAGAGACTGAACGGCTTGGTTTATCTTCACAAAGCAGCATCAACACCATCAAAGGCAAAAACTGGAAGAGAAAAGAGAAAGACGAGAAGGCACTGGAACAAATGCGCAGGCAGACAGGTGAGGATGAAAAAAGGCGTTTTGTGGTGATACCAAAATTTTCCTGTGCACTCATTTCTGCATCTGTGTGATCTGTATGTTCCAGATCTGTGAGGTGTGGCTCCTCTGTGTGGGTTTCATATTCTTTGTAGTTCACTTTGTGTGAGAATATAATAGAGGTGGGCTTTGCCTTGTGCTTTGCTATGTTGAGGTGGCATTTACATGGTGGTTGCATCATGGCCGTCCATTTTAGAGACGCACACGCACACATGGATGCATACAGGGAAACAAATATGCCCACACACACCTGCACATCTATATGTCAGCACAGACCAACAAGGGTTAGAATCTATGAATAAATCACAATGATGTCTGAGTTCAGGTACAAATATCATCCTGTGGGTGTCATGTCTTCAGTGGTTATGACATTTGACAGACCTCTGCACAGACAGGCAGTGGGGGAGGGAGGCTGCGGGTTATATGGACGAGTTTGGAATGGCCTGTTCTGTAGTTGTCAGCAGTACTAAGGCATCTCTGTATTGGCCATCCATTGGTGCTGCAGTGTGAATGCTGGGAACAAGCTGCAATTGCATAACTGCTGCTCCCGAACGCACCACTCCCACATGCAAAGCAACACACTAAAGCTGCTCCATTTCATACAGGCTGAATATTTTGGCCACCTCACCTCTGTATCACTGAGTCCGTGTTGTGCTCACTCATCAGCAATGTCGTCTGCCTTAACCCTTTGCTGAGACAGCCTCCTTAAAAAGGAAAATCAATCACCTTAATCAATCAAGCCACTGTTGTTTCTGAAGAGCTGGGCATTTGCTGAACCTTTCCCATCATAAATCTTCTATGAGGTCTGTTTCAGGCAGAGCGATGCTGATTGTTGCTTTTATGTTTCTGCCTGTGTGCAGCTCTGCCATGTTGCTGTGGGAGCTACATAGACAAAAACAAAGAGCACTTGGCTGTAATGAACTGGAAGGCAAAATGGCTGATGTCTGCCGTGAATGACAGCAGGCTGAATTATTAAAAACAACACCTCCGCACATACTCACTGAGCTCTGTCCGCCTGTGCAAAAATACAAATGTTAGACTAAAATTATACAGTAGCTTACGAAAAAAATGCATGTAACAGTTGAGGGATTGACTGTTAATACAAGAATCAGCGCTTAAAGCCAAACATCATATCTGGAACTGAATCCTGGGAAAAAATATCTAGATATATTTTTTTATCTTTTAATTATATTAGCCAGACACCAACAGTTTTATATATAAAGGAGAGCCATTCTTTTATTAAGAAAATGAATGCAAAACTCAACTGATAAAGCCTCGACACTGAAAAATTAAATACTGGCATTGTACGTTTTATATGCAAATATAAAACACCAGCAATATAAAAAAAAAACAGCCCAAGATGCATCTGTGAGCTGCATTTATGCAGCACCACATGTCATAGACTTTTCATATTGTTAAATGTGCCACAGAAAATCAACCTCCTGGTTTTAAATTCTTTACAGTATTTCACCTTGTCCCTGCAAGTGCCATGATTTTCAGAGAGGTGCTGCAGCCAGTGCACATAAAGTTGTGGATTTGTTCTCATACTGTAGCAGGTTACATAATCAAAACACAACATAATATCCCTCACAGGCGAGAGTATCTTGGTGATGCTTTTTACCAGCCAAGGCATGAATGTGGATATGCACCTCAACATAGCTTGCATACCTGACATACTGCTGGTGTGTGGTGTCAGTGCACGGACTCTCTGTACTGTGCAGGCCAACAGACTGTTTGGATAGATGGATGGATGGACAGCAAGAGGGAGAGGCAGATGGATAGAGACTAACAGATTTTCACTGAGAGAAAGGCATTGGGGGAGACAGACTGATGCGCAGGCTCTCTATGACTCATTCAGAACATGGTGCCCTTCTCCTGCTCTCCTATCTGCACAGGTGGAATCAATTCATTGTGATCACAGGGACCTGGACAGAGATGTATGTGTGTGAGGCAAAGAAAGCTATGTGAGAGGATAAGAATGTTCTAGATCTGTGCAGTTTTTCTCTCGTCGGGTGTGTGTTTATGTCAGTTTCATTAGCTGTGAGTAAATCTAACACGAATGACAGTGAACACATTTAAAAACCTTCCTTTCAGTGGCTCACATCTGCTTGTTATCTGTTTGTTTATGAGTCCCCTGGAATGTAAAGGGTGGTGCCATGTACGTGATAGGGAGTCGTCCGAGGGTGAGAACGTTCTAGGATATGTGTGTGTGTGTATCTAATGGTATGAGGAATTTACTGCTGAGACAGAGTCCTCTCACATCTCTGTGGTCAGCTCTCCTCTTCCTCCTCATGCCTGCGATGATGAGGTCAAATGCCTGTTATGATTTCATTAGTATACTAATTCCTCTGCTGGGAGAGGATCCAGAGCTGTGTACACACACACACACACACACACAGTTTACTCCATGTTAATATGGTGGCTGGGACGGAGATGACTTCCTTACATTACCGGAGAAGGCTCCATCTATTAGGAAGAGGTTGCATCAAAGCTGATCCATCAGTAGGCAGCCTGCACCAGTTATCAGTCCTCTTCATAGCACTGTCACCAAATTAGAGGGTAATCTTAGCTGCTTCTTCTCCCCCAGGCTCACAGGCTCCTCATGCAGTCTGCTTACTTTATCAACTTGACCCCTGCCTCTATCAGACACAAATATTTTCACAAAACACCAAATAACTCAGAGAAGTGGAGCTGGTTACTAGAATTTCTTTAAGAGTCAAACAATGAGCCAAGTGATTCTAAAATATCACTATTTACAACTAAAAAAAATCTAAAACCGATGTATTGGCTGATAGTCATGAAATAAACAATGTTTGCACTGTGCAGTGGAAGTGATGCCAACACTGTTTCTGCTGTACATGACCTGAGACTTTGGCACGTCTCTATAGTGATTCTTGCTATCTATTGGCCCATATATACACCGATACTGATATATGTGTAATAAACTATCAGCAGATGTATCATCTTGACAGATTACATGAATTCAAACAATCATATTATGAGATCAATTCTAGACACAGAAACATCCACATAATATAGTATATTATAATATTCTAAAGGTTATCATCTAAAATGTTTGCTATTATTCGTATGTTTAGGTGCTACTGACAAAATGATACATATTTGATGCGGTTTTGATGATTACAAGCATGTTTGTCCACATAACATACCACAGAAATACCATTTTAGGTTTAATAATCAACAGGATTCATAATTCATGGAGGAATTTGTACTTAAAAACTTTCAAAATAAGTTACTAAAGTTCTGTTTTACATTTGTGAGGATTTTTTTTTTTCATTTAGCAGTGGACTCTAGTTCATTATATTGATTAGCACTTATTTATGTGATTTTGCATACATTTATAACCACGATTATGATGGAATATTGATTGTAACTCTGTCACTCAACATTTGTATCTTTATTTTTTTTTTTTTTTTTTTTTTTTTACAATTTCTCTTCCCGCTTGACCCTGTAAGGTGGTCATATATACATTCTTCACATTCATGAGCAGAAACATTTTCCATTAAACTGAAATCTGAATGCACCAAGCATCACACCCTGAATATATCACTATCAGGGTACTAGGGTGAAAATAAAAGTTTTTTCCCACTAATGTATGAATGTATACAGGGGGGTGAGAAAGAAACATAGCTATTCTGGGAGAAGCAGCAGAGGGACACATTTGGTGAGACAGTGATTCTGAATAAAGGCTCTGTTAGTATAGAGTGTACTAATATGCCACTGGGTTCACTGAGACAGGATAAAGCAAAGACACAAATGCTCGTTTAGTGTAGCTCACTGCATCTTGCGAAAGCAATGTGCTAAAGCACTTCCACCCGTTAGGTACAGTACATCTCTCTCATTTGGTGTGACTCTCCAGCAGAGGTTGGGGGCAGGAAACCACTGAGACATGCATAGATAAATAAACCATAAATAGACGTTAGGACCAGCACTGTGCACTCTCTCTCTCTTCCTCGTCATGTAGGTCACCTCCTCTGCTCAGTTTTTTTTCCTCTAATGACTCATCACCGTTGACAGCTGTGCACAGAATGAAGGATTTGTCATCCTCCTCCTCCTCCTGCTGTTTAGCAGCTATTATTTTTGTTAAGCTACAATTTTTCATCCTTAAACTTGTTCTTTTTCACAAACCCACACACAGAATGGCACAAACCTTTCATGCAGATTGTAACCTGTTCCTACGCTCGTTAGAGTCTAACTGACGCAACTCACAACATGTTGAATGCTGACAGGAAGAATGATGAGAGCAGAACTGTGTGTGTCACAATCACCTGCTCTGAAAAGACAATGTGTCAGGCTTTGGCTTTTGCTTCCTTAATTATATTTACTCTTTGTTTTCAGTTAATATTTAACCTAAAATCCTGGCTATGGCTACATCTTTATATATAACGTGCATGTGTGTGAACAAAGGATATCATTTATCATATTTCTACAGAAAATCAAACAAATCCTTACTATGTACATACATGAGGAGGGCAGAATATTACAAACACCTCCAAATAGAACTGGACAACACCATCATGACCTCAATGCTAAAACATATTTGATTTAACATCTTTATGACAGTGTTAAAATAATCTTATTAAAATAAACCTTATGGCAGTTGTATGCTCTAAGATGGCCTTAGAATGTACAGGTGTACCTAATAAAGTGGACACTTGTATCTAGTTTTTAAAGTACTAGTCCAAAAATTATTACTTGATTAAATAACTTTTAACAGTTTAATAGAAATTAATGAATTTTAGCAATTAACTGAATAAAAAACAGCCAAACATTTGTACCACATGTTCCTGCTTTTTCTTATCTCATGTCAAAAAGTGAATGCCTTTGGGTTATTTTAGTGTTCTAAGAACACTCCATTGGCTCTGGAAGCTGGAATTGGTCCTTATTTGCTGCTGTCATTTTATATACAGAACAATCATTTAATCTAAAATAATTTTTGGTGTTCTGAACTAGTCCACTCATCACAGACTAAAGAATTATGGTGGGTGTGCTGTGCTTGTAATTCTTAGGCCTAAATGTGCCACAACATAATCTTCTGACTCTATGTTTTGCAAAAGAAAGGTGTGCACTCTGTCATGCCTCAGAGTAGAACATGATAAAATGATAATTATCTCAGGCTTTAAAGAAACACGCTTGGGCGGAAGTGAGCATGCAAAAGGAAACGTGACCAAGTTGTTTTCCCCCAGTATCTGCTGTCAGAGAAAGACAAAGACAGAAAGAATTCAGAGAATATAATACACAAAATTAGCATTTATAATGGATATGTGAATTTCCTACTATATCTGTTAATACACTTTCATGTGCAGGTATAAAACAAAGCTGCATTTGCCAACATAGCTGTCTAAAAATAAAAATCATGCTCCAATAAAACTAAACTGACCAAACCCTCCACACTTGCATTTCATTTGCAGTTCATATTAAAAGTCATTAAAATTCAACAAATCCTCAAATCAGTGCAGAAATTCATGTATGTTATGTATCCCTCTTTCTGTTTTCACAGGTAGCTGGACCAAAGGAATCGCACCATGAGTCTGAGGCACTGACAAAGGGAGACAAGCACAGAGGCGTTGTTATCGCTTCTTCTGCTCAGCTGGGAGGGCTGTTTGAAAAAACTAAAAAAAACTCCCACCTCTGAGGAATTCAGGAGCCTTGGAGCTTGAAGGAATCATTCCACAAGTTTCTGGAGCATTGTACAACACCTCCCAAAAAAAGATCTCCTCCCTCCTTATCAACAAGCTACCAAGAGGGTCACACAGGGTCACCTGACCAAACTGGATCAAGAGCATAGTCAAAGACTTCTTTCTTTCTTTCTCACACACCTGAGCTAATGTGTAACACAGCCGCAGCTAAAAACAGGAAGTTAAGCTGGTGTTTAAACACATTCAGAGGCTAGTTTGAGAAGCCAAGAGACCACAGGATTTATTTTAAGACAATAGCCTACCTGTTGGACCTTTCTAAATTATTTGCACTCAGTCCCACTAGTTTGTGAATGCAGAAATCAACGAGTCTGTACTGTATGTATATATGTGAGCATCTGTACATATAGATTATTTATGAGATTATTTATTGGTGTTATCACTGACTACGAACATATCTTTGTGCTAAAGTACCAACTCACCCTGTGTGTGAATATACATTTCTGCAAATAGCCATCAGAGACAGCACAGGAACATCAGCATAACAACAAAAATACCTTTAAGTAGTCAACACTGGTCAGATACCTTAAGCTGGACTATTAAATCATCTGTACATATAAGCTGTGAGAGAGTAAGAGCTGCAGGTTGGGGTGCTCCGGCTGAGCTTTTCTATCTGTCTTGGCCTTAAAACTCAGGCTGACAGGAGTCACACCAGGAAAGACCTCTGAGGGAAACATGGAGGCAACCATCCGTCCTCATGTCCCCTCAAATGGCTGATTTCAGAGAAAGTGCCCAATCCTTTCACCCTTGCGCAAAACCAGGCAGGGGTGTTCAGTGCTGATTAGAACCACAGCCCCTCTCTCTACCACCTCAAAACAAAAAGACAAAAAACGTGCAAATGTCTTGCCTCCGGCGTCAGCCCGTGGCTATCCCCATGGACACTGTCAAGATCATCCAGTCAGAGAAGTTCCCCAGAGAGTGCCCTGTGCCCGTAACCCAGCCGCGCTATGCCCCACCCCCTAGAGTGGCATGGGACGGCGGAGGTGAAGGTGAAATCATCGTCAACCAGGCCTGTAGCGACTTGACCCTGGACATGACAGGGTCCCCCCGCCCGATGGTGTCGCCCCCAGCCCCTCTGACGCGCAGGGAGCAAAGCTTCCTGGCGCAGCGCAAAACCAGTGCCAACGAAATCTGCTACCACCAGTTTCACTATAAGATGGATGACGTCATAGTGAACCAGTACGTGCTCCGCGCCTCCTCCACCTCCTCCTCCTCTTCTTCCTCCTCCTCAGGGCCCGTCATGCCCTGCGAGCCCCTGAATTGCCCCACTTGCGGTCACACCTACAACTTTGCTGGCAAGCGTCCGCGCATCCTCTCCTGCCTGCACTCAGTGTGTGAGGAGTGCCTGCAGATCCTCTACGAGTCCTGTCCCAAGTACAAGTTCATCTCCTGCCCCACGTGCAGGCGTGAGACGGTGCTGTTCACTGACTATGGCCTGGCTGCTCTGGCCATCAACACCAGCATCCTGAGCCGTTTGCCCTCTGACCCCAACGGGCCCGTGCAGTGGGGCGGGGACGCCGACCGCAGCTGCTACCAGACTGTGCGTCAATACTGCCAGTCAGCCTGCACCTGCCAGATCGCCAATCCCTTGTCCTCCTGTGGCATCATGTAGACAACGGGGGACACTGCACCCACCCCAACCACTCTTGTCGTCTATAAGCTCTACCCTTTTTGCCAGTCCCTCATCTCAGACACATACAGTGAATAAATCCCTCCACAGATGTTATCTCTATATATTTAATAGCACAGATGGATGCTGTGTGGGACTAATATATGCTGGTGGTTCAGTAAATAGTAAATAAATGTATTTTATGTATGGACTGAAATCCTATTCACCCTCTCTTGTTTGGTTGGATGTGTTTGTTATTGACATCTCTTTACATGGGAATGCCAGGGAGGTCTGCGCCCCCAGCCTAGGTGAATAAAGATTAAACAAATGATACAAGTACCTCAGTGTGGCCTCCACAATACTGTTTTTTCTGTTCTTATTTATCACTGTGGAAAAAAAGCTTAATTGTTTGCTTTAGGCTGATTTTAATGGGATAGTGATTTGATTAAATGATGGGTTACAATATACTGAGATATTTCGTAATGGGGTCTCTACATAGTTTAAATGGGTTTATAAAAACTCCTTGAAATGTACCAAATATGAAGGCAATGCCTTAATCTATAGCCTATTCTTTGCAGGTCACAAATTGAAATTCAAAAACAGCGCTGATGGGTGTTTTTGGTACAAAATAGTGGATGCTTTTGATTGTATTTTGTTAAATTTGAAGATGTTTTTATCCATCACAGAAACCCTTACTTCTCACAGAATACCAATTAAAAATCCCTTAATATAGCCTGTTAATTTAGTCCATATATTAAACAGCTGGTTGAATGATCAGGGCATTCAAGATGTTTAACAATTTAAATATGTAAGTAATTGTTTAAGTCGCTTCTAAAGAAAAAAATTACTTGGTTCCAGTTTCTCAAATATGAGAATTTGCTTCTTCTGTTGGTCGGACAAAACAAATAATTTTGACTTTATCCTAGGCTTTGGAAACATGGGGTGAACAGTTTCCACTATTTTATAACATTTTGTATATTAAACAATTAGTGAATTTATCAAAAAACCCTCAACCCAACCATTAGTTGCAGCCATATTTGAGACATCTGCCTGTCAGGGCTAAAGATATATTTTCATATTTAAAGCCAACATATGCAAAATGTTATTAAAATGTTTGTGATGTGTAGCTTCATCTTAGTTTTCCTTCATATGTACACCCATACTAGTATTGGTTGAATATACTTTGCTGTGTATGAAGTATGCTTTTCATGTGTTGCAGAAGTCAAACTTTTAGTATTTTATTTGACATTTATAATGTTCTTCCCAAAAAAATATAGATACAAGTTAGAAGTTTGTCTTTCAACTCTGTACTGCTTTGAATTATGAATTATATTACAGAGAAACACACTAAATATTTAGTCCATTTCCTGTCACCATTTAATAAAAAATGTAACATTTATAAGTAGAAATAATTAAGGCAAGTAGGTTTGTATAATATATATGTATAGGGGACAATAAATAGACATGGAGGATTGCAACATTATACATGTTGAATAGGAAGTCAGTGCTCAGGCTTTAAAAGAAAAACTTAGCCCTCCTCAGAACTGAGATCTAAATATCCAAGCATCATGAGAGACACTGCAGTCATTTCACACATTGAACGTCTTCCTTCTCCACCTGAAGAACTGGCTCAGCTGTTGTCGGGCCGTGATTTTCTCAGAAGACTGCATCTGTTGGCTGTACAGATTAAAAAAATTATTAATCAGATAGTGCTGAAGCCAGACACTGTGGAAAACTGGATGAGCTGTGTAAATTTCATGAAAAGGGAACAAAATGTTCAAAAGGAACACATGCACAGACTGAAAATGAACTCCCAACAAATCATCGGTGTCCACTGTGCATTAGGTCTGGACCGCTGCATCAGTGAGGCTGGATGCTGTGGTGTTCCTCACGTTTCACACATTTCCTCAGAGCATCAATATCTTACTCCTTTGCAGGCTCCTGTCTTTTAAAAGACCTGATTTTTAACTTCCAGTTCTCATTTGTTTTATTCATGTCCTCCTTTTTAGGCTCCTAAAAAAAGAGAAAATGAACTTTAAAAAAATACCAGATTTCTTGTAAAGCTTAGTATAACACAATAACAAAGATATACTTTATGTATTCTTTAGCTTGTATTTTGATAGTTTCAATTATCTTAATATATAAATGATGTGTTGTATGTGAATGCATTATACCTCCTGTTCATGATCTTCCTCTGCCTTCTCCAGCAAGTCATCGGCAATCAGGTGCTGCCCTCTATAGTCTGCATTCAACTTTACTGCAACAACGCACACAATAATTTATGAACCAAATAGCAAACATATCACTGAGGTAAGCTGAAAATCAAAAGATATGGAAGATGTCTCACTTAGATGTTGTGTGGCAACAGTTGGGTCTGAACTTGATCTTTTACGAAAATATCTGTATGCGTTGTCTTTGCCGTGCTGGGGTTCACCACCGTTGTGCTCTGCATTTCCTGTACTTTCAAGGTTTTGACAGGAAGACGGGCCCTCATCAGCTGTACAGTCACTCTGACAGGTGTGAGGAGCCTGGAAGAGAGTCAAGGTATGAGAAGGACAGTGCTGTCATGGTTCACCAGAAAACCTGTCAACCCTGTTATGTTTATAAACCCAGTGCACTGTGAAAACTGTGACAGTTTCTTAATTCCTGTGCAACGACTTGTCGAGTTGTCTTCACCTGGCTCGGCTGCATAGCTCGATGTTCCCACCGGCCATGTTTCTTCATTTGTAATGCTCGGTCGAGCATCTGCTGTAGGGCAATATCTTCTAACATCTGGCACACCTGTTCCAAGTAGTTGAACCCAGGACTCAGTTCTTTCTTCTCCTCCCCATCAAGGTCCTGCACAAGGATATAAAGACCAACAAAATGTATGTAAGGATAGTCAACAAGTTTTCCCTTGCATTTTCATTTGTGAAATCCTGCAAAAAATACTGTGGTTTAAACAAATTAGAGATGATCTCTGTTGTCATTTTTACATCTCAACAACTATTACAGAGATTGCCAAGAAATTTGGACCACACATTCATGGTTCCCAGCGGATGATTGTTAATGACTCTGGTGAGCCCCTGATGTTAGACAGCATCATCAAAACACCACATGTCCTTTAGGAGAATGGTGTTCATCCCCCAGTATAGAGATTGTAGAATCAGTGCCAACACACAGTGAAGCTATTCTGGTGGCAGGCGGTGACCCAGTACCTTACAAAGACACTTTCTTTCTTTTCATTTGCCATTCATTTTTATAATGCACTGATTAATGGAAGTGCAATACTGTAATTGCAGGTAATTGGGTAAATACATCAACTTGACATTTATATAGCTTCTCATTGTTGCCTTTCATACAAGGAAACAAATTATGCACACACCCAGGAACTTAAAAACATTTCTCAAGTACTATGTTAAATACACATGGTTAAATTAATCCATTTGTTTCAACACCTCTTTGTGCTGCCAGCATGAACTGATTTTTACACAGACCCCACCCACACTTGGCTCACGCAGAGAGCAATGTCTCCAGTGTTTCTTTTAAATTGTTGGTAAAAATCTAATTCCAAATCAAGATGTTTTCTGGCATCAGATTAACCATATATCTGTTTTATTTATCAAAAGCCACACAGACTGCTGACCTTCCCCCCACATCTCAACCCGTTCCTCTTGTGCCTGTGGCTGTTGAAGTCACCTGGCCCGACTGGTTTATGATCCCTCATACAGACTCATGACAGGTCACAAGCATGAAAAGAGATCCTGTATGAGTAATGGCATGCCTGTCCTACTTTAAATTACAGAGCAACTTGATGAATGTGTGTTATAGCCCTTTGACTACAGAAAGAGTAGAAGCTTTGCTGAACTTCTGATGCTTTCTTTCAGGCTTTCTATATGTATTTACAAGTAAGATCCCACGTTGCTGTGACTAACTTGTATAAGGCTGAGAACAAATGTATTTTCAGTAACAGGAATAAGTCACAGTGTGTTTCTATCTAAATGTTTCTATCTCAATGCTTAGACATCTGAGCACAGTTTGGTTTGTGACATAAACAGTTTCTCACCTCTGATCTCTCCGTGTCACAGCTCATAGACTTTGCTTCTGGCATCTCCCTGATGGGCACCGATGGGCTGATTGTCTTCCTTAGTCCAAGACTCTGTGACCTTTGACCTCTTACTATATTCAGCGCACGCTGTTTGGGGAGAGAAGATGCTCGAGGTCGTCGCCTGAGCACCTCCTCCACTGTAGGGGGCCCTGGCTTGTCCTTTGGACATTTAGCATGAGTGTTCTGTAGTGTTTCCTCCTCGGCTCTGCTGGAACAAAGGAGCGGGGATGATGCGGAGGAAGAGGAGAGGTGAGGCAACTGTGCAGTTGAATCTGAAGTGAGTCCGCCACCTTCTCTTTCTGGTATAAATGTGTCTATTTTAGCATTATCTGCCGAGACAAAGCAGGATTTAGCAGGAAACGATGTGTCACAGCTGGAGGTCTCCACTCCAGAGTTCATCAGCTCTGAGCACAGGTTTGTCTCTGTGCCAGAGGAAGGTAGAGGAGACTCGCCAGCATTATTTCCAAACCATTCTGAGTCAAAGCAGTGGCTTCCTTCATTTACCCAAGCCTCCATAAGGTTTCCAAAGTTCCTGTAGAGATTCATCTCCAAAGGTTTCCCCTCACACCTTTAGTGCTGAACTGCAGCAAGAAAATGAACAAAACACCAGCTTAGAGAGCATGCGGTCTTCAGCTGAGGTGAGCTGGTGCTGCAGAATTCAAAACATCCTATGATGTTCTTTCACCACACCTCTTCTCATTACTTGTCCTGTCACTGAGCTGCATGTTAATACCCACTCCTTCCTGTCACTGAATACTGGGAAAAGAGTGACTCACTGACAATGCTATTTGAAATGTTTGAGTGGTCCTGACAACTATTTAAAAAATTAATAAATAAAAAAGAGAACATGTCATGACATGGTCACATAGATTAACCTGGTTTAATCTGTGTATTTACACAGTACTCAGAAGGAAATTAAATATAACAAACTTCAGTTATATAATTTAAAAACACAGCTGTTGTAAAGGAAATGAAACAAAGGGGTGCTGATAGATATTTAAGATGAAATGACAAGTTTGAGAACGGTTATTTAAATGTTTGACTTGGAAATTAAACTAACCTTTATGACCTACATCCATCAACATAACCCATGAGTGTGAGTATATGAGAGGTGTAATATAATATGTTAAAATTACCTCCATAAACGTACAGCACTATGGCATGTGTGTGAAAATAAAAACTGTAAGTAAAGGCTGAAACAACAAACATTTGTTTGTCATTCCAACAAGCCAAGATTTATCTGAGATTGTAAGAATGTGTAGAATGGCTGCTCCTATCTACATTCCCCAGGTCAACAGAGACAGTGCAAGTCATCTGATTAAATACACAGGCTCATTCACAGTCTTGGAAACATAAAAGAAAAGCAGTTCTTCTGGGCTAGAGCACCGTCTGCCCACATTTACATTTGTTGTAATGTTGTAACCCCTGCTCCATTTTATTTATTCCATTAAGTTATAAATAACAAGTGAAAAAAAATCCATGTACACATGCACATACGCAAACCAGGTGGCCAGGTGGCCTCGATACAAAAAAACCCAAGACTCCAGGGACCAGAGCCTCTGTATGAAGTGACAGTTAACATTTCTTGTGGGAAAATCATCCACTAACATATATGCAAAATGAGCAAACATAGATGCAACACAGCCACAAAACAATGAAAAATAAGCAAAAGGACAAGCAAAACAAGCCAAACATAGACAATAAACACAAAGAGACTCAAAGCAACTAAAAAGAGAAGCAAAGTAATTAAACAAAAATGAAAAACCACAAAAGTAACAAAATAACAAAGAGATGCAACATACCCACAATTAAATATGCAAAATGTTTAAAACGAGACGCAAAAGCAGCAACACACACACACACAAATGTTGATACTGGTGTGTGTGTGTGTGTGCCCAGGAGCCCAGGGTGTTAAGATCCGTCCATGTCTGTCCCGCAAGACTACAAACTGAAAACAGATCGTGTGATCCGTGAAGACTCTTCAGTGTATGTGAACATTACTGGGACGCCGTGGTCTCTATTTACCACAGGCCACAAAGTGTCATTGTTTTGACAAGAAAGTTGCGCATATGTTTTTATGCAGTGTAAATTCGACTGCCACAGGCTGTAAATCACCCAACTGTACTGTATTAATGAGCTTTGTACACAATAAAAGTAGACTATGTTTCTGTTTGCAGCAGAACTTTCGGTGCACATATCAGTGTACGGACACTACGCTCCTTCCGTGTGTTTGTCTTCGGTTTTCTGTAGCAACAAGCAAACACCACGGGAAGGCGACCTGCACGCTTCAACCTTCTGCGGTTTCGATATGGACAAATACGCCCCTAAATTTAGCACAGTTCTGTTGACACAGGATCCACATTATATTCCGGGGTAAGTGCACGACTCCAGAAGCGAGAATCGGTTAAAATGCTGAATACATTCATGTGTAATAAAAAAAAACAAACAGAGAAAAAACGTGTTTACGTAGGGTTTAATGACGCCAGGACTCCTTATTACTGTATTATATTGTTATAGGAGGAGATACAGTATAGGTATGTATACATTCTGACAGTCCTGCAAAAACACATTGTAATATTGTTCTTTATTCAAAGTTGTGTCAGATGGTGTTAAAGTTATTCCGTTTCTTAGAAGCCTCAGTGGTGTTTTTGTGGCACTGCATAATAAGGCGTTTCTGTAATATTGTCCAAGAAATTAAAGAAACTCAGTATAGTACAATAAATTACAATAGTAACAACAGTAAATGTTTGTCCATTGTTGTTCTGTCCATGCAAGTGTCTAATGTAATCAAATATAATAACAAAAATGAGCATTTCTACTTTAAATCCCTATGTTAACCCTGTTCAAACTATACATACTGTATATTTATATAAATTATATTCTCAAAAGCTACTGCTGAGCCACCATAGATACTTGATTTTATGTTTTTCAGGTATGCAGGGTATTGCCCACAGCTGAAGTTTAATATGGGGAAGTCCTACGGCCAGCTTACGGCCGAGCTGCTGTCCAGTCCCAGTGTGAGACATTCCAATCACCTGGTCCTCCACACAGGTTATGTTCCCCTCACAGAGTCGGGCACTGGTCTGACACTGAGAACCACCCCTGACAGTAACTTGAAGACAATGATACCAGGATACACAGGTAGGTATCACACACTAACACAGGAGGTTAGCAAAGTAACCGAACACCTCATGGAAAACTATTTGATGGTGCTACACTGTTTGGTTTCAGTCAATTACCAGGTGTGAAATATCTAAATACCAGTTTGGAGCATCTGTCAGGTATAAATTAATTCTGGCAACAAGCCCTTAAAAATATGGGTTTTGACAGTAACATGAGACCAAATCATCTGTGTCTAACTGCTAAAGTAATAAGTATGGCTACAAGTTAGTGGGGGTTTTTCAAATCAAGATTACAGAAATGTGAAGGGCTCTGAACAACATGGCTTTTTGAAATCATTGTCTTGGTTTCTCTATATAATAGTCAGGTCTAACTGAGAAGTGTTAAACCTTGTCTCAGAGATTTAGTTCCTTTGAAAACTATTCACACCGTGTTCTTGTGAATGATCCCAACTCACAGGGAAACACACTCATTCAGCTCTGTCATAGTTGGGTGGAGAAAATAACCCTGAATAAATAAACCTACTGTAGTTCTAGACATGTCCAGTGGTCACACACTTGAGATGCAGGTGAAACAACCATTTAATTTTGCTTGTTGCTGTTTTAGGCTTTATTCCAAGAAGTCAGAACGTCTTAGCTTGCAGCTACTCCGAAACATGTCGGAGAGCACTGACTGAGTTTTATGAGGAAAGACATGGGAAGCTCCAACAGCAATCAGTGAGCCTGCCAACTGTTGTCAACTACACCAACCAACAGTTTGAAGTAACACCCCCCTCTCTCACACAGACACACACACACACACCTACTGACATTGCACCTTTGCTTAGGTTCACCCTTGTTTAATTATCCACGGTGAAGCTCTAATGTCAGTCCACTGTCATCTAATCCGCCTCAGCCAGAACTGGACAGATCTTAGGCCTGTCAAACACAGATTCAACACTTCTGTCTCTCTGAGATTCAAACTAATTAGCTTAGATTACTAAGAGGAAGTAGCATAACTAATTGTATGGCACAATCTTCCATTCACCTACAATAAATTGCTGATGTTAGAGTAGTCTTGTTTGAAATTTGTGGGTTTAGTAGTAATTTTATATTGTCATATACTGTAGAATCTTTGTTTAATTTATAACTTTGCGCTTTAGCTTTGTCACATGATCTTTTTAGCAGAGATCATAAAAATTATATGATCTCCGAGTCATGCGTGTTTTACTGGTTTTCTTTTATTTTTTTTGGCCCAGAGATCAAAACCCACTCTGACAGCGATCTCCAACAAAGTGATCTCCAACAAGCCCTTGAAGCCCTTCACCCCCATTGGAAAGCCATATTTCATGGAAGATGATAACCCGCACAAGTACTTTATATCTGGTACAACACAGGCAACCTTTATAGTTGGTACCTACAGCATGCAATATGCAGTGGAGTTACCACATGCTGCAGTTGTTGCATGGTGTAACATTAGCATTCATTTGGAGTTGTGTTTCTGGCCAAAAGGAAACTACAAGTCTGATAGTTACTCTTTTTTGCTGTTTTTGGTCTCTGCCAAGTCTTGAGGGAAATATTCGATTTTTAGCCACGAAAAGCTCCACTATCTTCACTAGCGAGTGTCTGTCTTCTGTTTGGTGCTGAGGAGGCAGTGTTCATTGGGTTTAGGTTAAGTTTTTAGCTGAAATGTACAGCTACACTTTAAACAACACTGGAGAAAGCAGTGACAGTGAACCAAAACAGTAAAGCTGCTGGCTGTAAAACCAAAATAATGAGCTGCTAAAGAAATCAGTAGAGCTTAAGAGAACTGAAGAGTTGAGTGATAAATCTCTTGGTTTCATCATATGAGTGACCTCTGTTATGTACAAGCAGTCCAGCACTCCATTGCTAATATAAAAACACTGATTATAGCTGCTTTAAAGCTGTGTTATTCAACTTTTGGCCACAAGGGGAGAGATGAGCTCGCCAAGTGACGGTCTACTCTAGTTTTTAATAAAAGCGTAGTATTCATACATCTATTGGACAGAGAGCAACATTGGAGCCATGTTTCTAGCAACCTGACAAATGTAAAGAGAAGAACATTTACATCTCTAGCTGCTGGATAATTGTCCTTACTCAAAATAAAAGCATCACAGAGCCAACTGTATGGGATGTAAACAAAAACAATCAGCTGAAAGAGGCTGAAAAGCTGTAGAGGGCTGTGAGTTGGGTAATATTCTGTGGGCACCATTTAAAGCAACCCCTCTCATATTACATCTATAGTCATTTCAGTTAATATATAGTTTGTACTGTATAAACATGTCAAAGAATTGCTGCCGAAGACACTGTGTGATGTCTTTTTGCAGGATTTACCGGGCATGTGCCAAAATCGCGTTTCTTAATTGGCAAAGGTTACCCCATCACCACCAACCAGGCACTGATCCAGTTTCGGAAGCAGCAGCAGCAGCAGAGTGCCCCCGTGTCTCATGACAACACAAGAAAGGACAGTACAACACTTCTCATGCCCATTATCTATCCATCGGACAAAGGTGTGGTGCCATCATTCACAGGACATATCCCAGGTCTGTGTCAGAGCTGCAACACTTTTCACACCACAAAGCCTTGAGATCAGATAAATTATAAAAGCTAATTAATTGAAACTGATCACTCTGCCAGAGGTAAACATCAATTATACTCTACACCATTCCACAGGATTCAAGTTCATGCATGGACATACCTTCGGTCAACTTTCCCAGAATGCACTGGAAAAAAGTGGCATCAGGAGGACCTTTCAGGAAACGTCATAAAAACCATCATACACCTTAATAAAATGATCATTACTGGCATGATGAGTTACATCTAATACCTTACTGGGAAGTTCTCACATTTTCATGAAAACAATTTGTGCTGGATTGAAAAAAAATATTTGGCACATGGAAGAAACATTTGGACACTGTGGGCATAGAAACAGAAGGCAGCCAAAGAGCTTACAGTAAGTCTTTATTGACAGTTTGATTGTCACTTGGAGTTAGCATTCACGGTTTGAGAAAATGATGCTGGGAGGAATAGTTTCACAAATTTATATTATTGTAGTACATTAAAAATTCTCTATTCAACAAATGAGGAATGGCCATTTTTTATTTTCTTCTTCTTATCTAAGTACTGGTCTATCAAAATATACCTGACACATTTAAATACCTGAAACAGCCACAAGATGGCTTAACATTTGTGCAACTTCACTGGAAGACATACTACTGTATACCAAACAAGTTCACACATTTAAAATAAAGCTTCACAAAGTTTCCTAAGCCTAACTCTACAGCTGTAAAAACATTATCAGGAGGTAAAGAGTAAGGACTGGAGCACCTACATTACTGTTTGTTTGTTACCTCATGCACCTACAGTAAATCCATGCTGGAAATTTGCCAAAAACCAAGTTACTGGAAATAAAAACATCACTGATGATGCACTACAGAAGGCTGCTGTGTGGCATATTTGGTACTATTGTTTTTTGTTTTTTTACCTATCAATAAGATGAAAGGTAGAGCTATGGAAAGACTGACAGTGACATATATGAAATGGATAATTTTGCACCACAAGAATGTCCAACAGTCTACAACAGATCAATATTCACATTTTATGATTGGTATTTGCCTACAGGAAGTGCAAAGGAGAGGAACAGGTACTGTAACAGATGCCTACATGTTATTCCAGAGTACAACTGAAAAAGGGGCATTGACCCCATTCAATACGTTAAGCTTAGAATCTGTTGTGGAAATATTCCAGTCTTTTCTAATTGTATTCATGACATTTGAGCTCACAACTAATAAAAGCACAAATTACAAATATACACTGATGAAACAACAACCAAGGGACATTTTAAGACCAGGAGCTAGCTAGCTGCACTAACTATATGAAATTTTAAACTAAGCAGCCCAGTCATAACATAGCCTAAAAGAAGGTAGGCACAAAAAAATATATACACACAAAATAACCTAATTACGCCAAATTTAAAAGTTATGTTACACAGTATGATACAAATCCTGTTTTATTGGTATGATCAGACATTTTCCACTCACTGTTAACTGCAAGAATACTAATAACTCTGGAAAACACAGTTCTCCAAAAACATAATTAAGATAAAACAAAATAACACCTATACAGTATAAGCTTAGTCATGAAACCTATTATATAGATTTCCCACTAAACCAGTAGTTGTTGGCAGTTATATGACAGCTTGTGATGCTACGCTAACTTCCTGTTTACAAAGCTGAGTGCTTTTGATTTGCCAGCGCTACAGATGTTTCCATAAACATTAGAACATTTTTAACTTAAGCCATTTCATAGGTTTTAATGGTGCAACCTGGATACTCAGCATTTGCAATGAATTTATAAATAGCTCGTGCAACACAAAGCATGATGAATAGGGGTCACTGCCAAAGCTGTTCATTTAGTGTTTTATGTGCTTTCTGACTAGTTCAGCAGTGTGATTGAGAATCTACTGTCATGCAGGTAAGACTTATTGTTATTACCATAAACAGTCTCCACTGTGTCATCCACCCATAGAGGATGTAGTTTTCAGCAATTTTTGTCAATTTTTGTTTCTGTCAATCTGAGTTCCTACTAGCTTCATTGATCTGATGGATTGAGCCAACAGTCCAAGCTGCGATCTGTCCAAATGAAACCACTGAGATGGGTGCCTGAAACCAATGATAAAGAAATATCTGTCATAAGTAGAGAGTTACACTGGCGGTCTTTCATTAATATAGATCCTATTCTCCATAATAAAAAATAATCAAGACAAAAAGAAGAAAAAGGCAGCACAAGACTGTACTTGTTTTCTTTGCTCACAGCTCATTCTTACCTTCTGGTTTGTGCTCCAATGTGACTCTGAGAAACTCTAGTGGCTGCTCCAAACAGTTTGGCCCAGTGCAACCCACCCTGACAACGGCTCTTCTCCTGGACACAAGTTGGTACATTCTGGGTCCCTTTCTCTCCTTTCCTGTTGTCCATAATTACTTGAGACCATGTATCTGAATGATTCTGCTTACAGTCCTCCCCTTCTACCACACCTTCCATAAAGCCAGGTTCTTTTGGCCACCACTCTGAAATAGGAACTAACAGTGGACTCCTGCTGGTCTGCATGCCCCCATATTGCTGCTTGATACAATTGGAATTCAGAGGACTGAGTGACTCTTGGTGATACAGGCCTATCGGGTGCGAAATCTTAGTTTGATGACTACTCTGGCTGCTGTCTACCTTTCTGTCAGCTTGCAATAGTGGCCAGCTGGTCACTAGGAGGGCTGAGCATGGTGGTGGTGGAAAGACCCCCTGTTCCTCAGGACACAGCTGCCTGTTACATAGCAGTCTGGGCTCCAGGAGCAAGTTGAGGTCAAAGGGCAACACAGAGAGTGGCTGCAGCATGAGCAACAGCTCCTGAAATAAGGTCTGACACCGACCCAGTGACATGGAGAGGAAGCCCCAGGAATGGTAGTATGTTGTCACCACATCTGTAGAGACAGTAATGGATGGAGAAAACACAAAGATTCAACATCTGCAATCATTTGTAGGTAAAGTTTTGGAGATTGTGTAACATAACTCTTTTTTAACAAGTGTCTACAGGTGTGATGGTGGTCCTGTGAGGCTGCTCTTGAGCTAACGCTAACCTCACCATGCTATCATGCTCACATCAACATTCTGACAATCAATTCTTGACCTTGGAAAAAGTAGTCTCACAACAAAAAATGTTAACTCAAGTCCATGTTTTCAGCAAATTGACTGCGCACTCACCTTTTTGACTCTGAAGATGACTAAGCCAGAACTCCAAAGCTCTCAAGCTGAAACAGAACAAATAATCAACAAAAATAAATGCCTTTATTTGCAGTAATTTCATTAACATTTTTTTAGCATCAAAGGTTATGTCAGTACTTACTTAAGCAGACCCATGATGAAGGCTCTTAGTCTCATGCAGTGGCTTGTGAGCTGTGGACACTGTCTAATTTTCAAAACCAGGCTGTGGATGACCCTAGTGGATGGACCTGTAGATGTTGTGGACAGAGCAAAAAGAGTTCATCAAGGAGCCCACAACAAACAGTGGGCCACAAACAATGTTGCTACACCTTTACAATGGGCCAAAGCCAAGACTTGTACAGTAGTAATACTTGGCAAATTGATTCCCAAATACATTCATAGCAGTTCCTTTGAATCACAGTCACTAATTTATGCTGTTGTTGTGTATACCAATTCTAGTAGAGACTTCCACCACACTCCAGGAGTGGTTGCGGCGCTGCCCAATGATGAAGTCCAGTTTGTGATCCTTGAGCCCATCCTCTAAAATATTCTGGATAGATGGGCACAAATGTTCCAGGACCAGGCCGGCGATTGTAGGACTTTGCGAACTGTTTCCCAGACGCATCTGTGCCAAAGGAAGTAAATATAATAAAGTATATTCCCTGCTGATACAGCTCATTTGTCTCCAGGCCTAAAATGCAAGTTATAGCAGCCTGGCACTTCTTTGTGACACACTGTTTATGCTAATTCATACCTTTTCTTCAGGGTCTCTGCTGCTGCCAAAATGAGCCATGATCAACTCCACTGCCCTGCTCACAGACCGGAGCAACCCTAGAAACATTGGACAACAAAGAAGTTTGGGAGCACTGGCTTCATGCAAACTCTTGTGTCATTTCTGTGTATTACTAAGAAATGAAAGTTTTTTTTTCCTAAAATAACTAGGAAAATACATCTGCCAGTGGGGTGGCATCAATCCAATGTATTTGCAGTACCATGCAAAAATCGGTTAAAAACCAATATCTTGAATTTAGAACAGCAATATAATTTCTAGAACATTCTTGATACACAGATTTGTTTTGGAAACAATTTGAAATGATCTTACAGCAGTAGCATTTTTTTACTTGTTTTAAATAAATAAGACTTTAAAGGACTCCATAATAAATAAACTTGATAAGATTCACTTGATAAGTTTTCCATCTAACTCAATGCATAGAAATATGAGAAATGCATTCAGGGTTCATTATCATATTGCAGGAATTCAAATGTGAATGAGAGCTGAAGATAAAAGAGTCAGTTTTCCATTTCAGCAGCCATCCCCACTGACGTGCTTTTCTCCCTGCCTCTCCTTCTTCATTTCATGCTGGCTAACCTCTGCAAATGTCACAGTAAATTCTTTATGCATGTTGATGCTGCCTGCAACACTGCACCACACTGGCTCTTCAGTGCTGCTGCAAATGTCTCCATCATTTACATTTATATAATTACATTTGCACCAAGTGCACCATAAGGTGCCACTAAAACAAAATGATGAGGTATATTATACATCCTTAGCACTATTTCTACTGCATCATTCTCCCTCTCTTGAAGCTTGAAGTCACACACACAGAGCAGATGGCTCAGCCAATCTTATGCAGGGAGAGTTAAAAATAGGTCATGTTTGAGAGGAAGCCCCTTCAGGGTACTGCAGCAGAGGGAGCTCTTACTGTTGCTCTCAACAGCTCATCCCTGGGTAGACAATCCAGTGAAGGAGGAGCACAGTAATTCCTGCAAATCATGTCACTTTTTACTACATTCATATTTCAATGTGTGTCATATACGGTATATAAAATCATGTTTCATACAAACAGATAGAGTGTATTGGTCATTTATTGGACCTCACCTCTTCTCTGAAGATGGCTGATAGACATAGACTCATAAGAGGCATCAGGTGAGAGGCAGAACTCTGTCGGTGGCCTGTCACTCAGGATCAGAGATTCACTATGTTGACTCTGGTTCTCACTGAGCCCAGCAGAGTCCTGGATTTTCTGTGGATGCAGCCCAGAAACAGCCAAAGAGAAGAGAGAACTCAAAGAGGAGAGAGAAGCTACTGAAGAAAGGGCAGCTGTAAAAAAGCCAGAGTCAGCTGCAGGTGCAGGGAACGTATTTTCTGGTTGTGAGGATGTGTGAGGAGATAAGTAGACCTGCAAGTTTGGGTAATGGGTGTCAGTTGTAGCAGGTAAAGTAGGTGGTGTATGAGAGAATACTGAATGGTAGGAGGTGTGGGTCTGGGGCTGACGGGGACTTCGGGGTTCGGTTTTGGCATGGCTCTGCTCAGGGGTGAGGTTATTAAGGTCTTGGTAGGTGGGCATTTTAACAAGATTGGACTGATTTGGGGATGCAATCAGATTTAAAAATACATTTGTCTGAGTGCTTGTTTTATCTTGCACCTGAAACAGTCTGGGGTTTGTGCTGACATGAGCTGGATCCAGGCTGTTTTTTGATGTACATGGACTTGAGAGTCTGTGCCTTCTGCTGGACTGGCTCCATGTGCGTTTGTGGCTGAAGCACTCTGGGCTCGATGTGCAGGTGGAGCAGCTATCACAGGTTGAAGGAGCATCCATGAAGATGGGGCAGTGGCTGCCCATTGATGATGGCTGAAGATTAGAAACACACAGACTGCTTTTGCCCTTGAACCTAAACCCTGGCTGTGAGCTTTCACATTTGCTGCTCTTTTGATTTATATACTGCTCCAGCAGACAGCCCAGTTGCTGGGCTTGGGATTGGGGTTTGCCCGAGGGAATCAGAACAAAAGGCTGAATGGGCAGAGAGGTTGGCCGCTGGGCCTTACTGTAGCGCACAACTGCATTTCCTAATGAGCATGAACCTGGAAAGAACAAGAAACAGAACAAATGTTAGGTTTACTTTACACTTATCAAACCTTGTTTCAGTCCACAATGCCGAGGGAAGGAGTGTGTCTGGTTTGGGGACCTCAGAATTGCTTCTCTGATCTTTGTAGATGATGTGGTTCTGTTGGTTTCATCAGGTCTTGACCTCCAGCATGCACTGGAGTGGTTTGCAGGTGAGTGTGAAGCAGCTGGCCTGAGAATCAGCACTTTCAAATCTGAGGCCATGGTTCTGTACTGGAAAATGGAGGATTGTTCCCTTTGGCTTGGTAATGAGGTATTACCCCAAGGGGAAGAGTTTAAGTATCTCAGGATCTTGTTCACAAATGATGGTAAAATAGCGAGTGATAGATTGACAGGCAGATTGGCACAGTGCCAGAAGTAAGTTGGGCATTGTAATAATCTCACAAGCTTAGGGTATTGACTCAAACATTGGGATTTCGAATACAAGCGAATGAAATGAGTTTCCTCCGTAGGGTGGCTGAACTCAGCCTTAGAGATAAACACAGAGTTCAGACATTTGGAAGAAACTCTGAGTAGAGCTACTGCTCCAGATAGTTCGGGCATCTGATCAGGATGCCTCCTAGGCAGCTTCCAGTGGAGGTCTTCCAGGTACGTCCAACTGGAAGGAGGCCATGGAGTAGACCCAGAATAAACTAGAGAAATTATATAGCTCATCTTTCCTAGGAACTCTTCAGGGTCCCCAAGGATGAATTGGGAAGAGTTGTTGGGGAGAGGAGCATGTGGGCAGCTTTGCTGGATCTGATGCCCCCATGATCTAATCCCACATAAGTGAAAGAAAATGGATGAAAAAATTATACTTTTTTCAGGTGCTGTAGCTTTACATATTTTACTCTCCCACTTATAAAACCTAGAAACAAGAAAAAACTATCTTCAATAGGGTTGGAATTATTAATTGATGTACAATATGTCCAATTACGCTGATTACATAAAGATCAGTTTGTATGGAATGTGTTGATGCATTGCAGTGTTTACATTCATCCCCAGTTATGGCAGCTCCTGCTCCCAGCATGCTGAAAATGAGACGTTATGCCAAAAAGCCTGAACCTCATTGTCAAAAATGTGGGAATTACTAAAACAGAGACCTAATAAAATGGTGCTCTGCATTTGTAAAACTGTACTAATAGATGCTTTCTAATTCTTAGGACCAAGTTAACTGGCTTACTGAAAAAGATCAAAACATTAAAATGTAAATATAATGGTTAGTTGCAGCCTTATTCTTCATCATTGCCTTACCCTTCTCAGTGGCATCAGTAGCAAAGTGCTCCTGTTCCAGAGTCACAGATGGTTGTGTGATTGCAGTGCTTGTGTCTTGGCATTTATTGCTATGTGGGCAACACTGACTAAGGCAGAGGCAACATGGTGTGTGAGAGAGGTTCTGGATGCTGTCTGAATGTTGCTTCCTGGAGAGTGCTTTGTCAGTGGAGGAGCTGGCAACCTGGTAATCATAGGTCTGACGCTGGGAGCTGTCAAACCCGGTGCTACACTGTGCTGTGGAGAACCTCTTTTCCTTTTGGTGATCCTCTTTCTCCTGGTGGTGATACAGAAAAGACAGAACTGCTTATGTTTATGTAACCAGTCCAGCCAGTTTGTAGAAAATATTAATACATTTCTAATAAATGAATTTTGGTCTGGGCTGTTTTTTTTTTTAGATAGGAAACAGTGGGATGGTCCATTGGAGAAATGCACTAGATTAAGATTCAGCTAACAGAACAATGTAAGAGACATGTTGATTTTCATTAGATAGTGACAAAATATCATTATGTTTTATTGTATGTTGTATTATTTTGGACATTTTTCATATAAAAGTTGATATTTAGCATACGTATTATCTAATTCAGTACAAAGTTTTATTCCAGCATTACCTTTTTGACCTCTTTGTGTTGTCCTTTCTTATGATGGACAAAGAGGTGCTCCGAGGGACCAAGGGGGCTGCTTCTGCTCTGACCCTCGGGGCAACTGGTTACACTGGACCAGGCAGGGCTGGGTGACTGGGACGGGAGGTCACAAGTCACAAGCTTGTAGTACTTCTGATTGGTCCCCATGGTGAGTGTGGCCGGGCTTTGAAGACAAGCAGTCAGGTCCGTTACTTCCAGAGAGGAGAGAGCCGGGGGCAGTGGCTCCAGAGAGTAAAGACTGCAGTTAGATTTAAGACCCGGAGAAGACCAGCAGGACCCAGAGGGAGTCATTTCAATCTCCCCCTTAGGAGGAGTGTAAACTGTCTTGCTGTCATGTTGGAGGTCCTCAGTAGGAGTCTGTGGAACAGGCTGGAGGTTGAGGAATACAGGTCCCTCAGCTGATTGAGAGAGGTGAAGTGCTGGACTGCTAAGGTCCTGGGGCGTGGCAGGGTTGTTGCTTCTGTTATAGATAGTGCAGAAGTTAACCAATACACCATCAGAACTGTTGCAGGAAGAGTCGCTGACATACTCTGTGTGACTGTTGGACAGCGGCTCTGGGGAACATTTGTGTTGGCTGTACATGCAGCAGGACATGTTATCCTTCACTCGGTCTCGGTCTGCACAAGCCATTATTCTGAAGCCAGATCTGCTCACATGAAAGTACTGGCAGTCAGTGAGCAGTGAGTCCAGCTGGTTAGGATGGTTAGAAAGCCACTCTCGGTCACTCTGAGCATCCAACATGGTCCCATGATTGCCCCATTCACGCTCCATGTTCCCATGGGACACTGTGTAATTTTTGGTGCCATTACTTAGTGGCCAATTGGAATTTCCATGCAGTACGAAAGATGAATCCTCATGATACCTGTGCAGATTATCTGTATCACTGTCTTCATCTTCCTCTTCCTCATCTAGCTCTGTATTGGGAATGAATGAGTTGTGTGAACGCTGACTGCCTCTCATTCCCAAACGTTCCTTTGTCAGATGGGAACTTGTCTCTTCGGGAGATGAAGTGGAGTCGTATCTCCCACTACTGTCACTGGCCCCCTCCTCCTCTGCTCTGTCCTCATGGAGACTACTGTAGCTACTGGAAAAATGTCTTCGACCACCAGTGAAGGCATGCTCTTGGCTGAGCGAGTCCTGCTCTGGAAGGGACACGGCTCGGGTCAGGCCTACTGAGCACAGACGGCCAGTCCTCTTGGCTGAGCTGCACAAAGCCTGGACAGGAAATTGCCATGTAGGAAGTTGAACAACAGGGAAGTGGCATGCTACCATTGTGTCCCCTGAGAGACTGGATGAACCAATCATACTGCTAGATGAGTCTGGACCATGGAAACTGTCTCCATGTTCCTAAAATGAAATCCTGAATGAGTAGAACAGAATAAAATCGGTGTTATAAATCTGCTTTTAATGTGGTATCAATGGGGCACAAATATATTGACAATAATGTAAGGGGACACACAATACAGGAGTTAGAGTAGTAATTATTTATGAAGAAAATGCATAGTAGTTACTGCTTAGTACCACTGTAATAAATGCTGTTTATTTGTTGAGGATGAGGCAAATTTTAATGCTGCATGTATAATCATATGTTTGTTGGTGGTGTCTGCAAATGTATTCATGTTGATCTCTCCTGGTGGCTTGCTACTTGATTTTTCTCAGTTTTCTGGCCCCAGATATCAGGTGTCAAACGTGGCTTTAGAACTAAGACAGGCTAGCTGCCAATGAAAGAGAAAAAACATCCCAATGACAGAGAAAAGGATAAAAATAAGAATACGACCGCAGGCTAAAGCTGTCTCAGTCTGCTCCCTCACTTTACACAACTGGTCCTCCAATCAAACTCCTACTGTGTTGCCTGCTCCTGGCCCTCGGCACAGCTAATTCTCCATAGTTCATTCAACCGTTACCAAACTCCTCCTCTCTCTGCCTGGGCCAACCACAGCCTCTCACAGTTACTCAGCTGCTCTGTAACTAGGGCAGCCGCACTGCAGAGATGCTCCGCTGGCACTGCTAAGATTAAATATGTTTTCACATGACTTTAGCTATTTCAAACTGTTCTTCCATATTCATTAATGTTGCTCCTAATTCTATACGTCATGCTTTACACAGACATGTTCACACAACCACCATAATAATGATCACCATCCCCTCATGAAAATCTGTGAAGACTATTATCAAGTTAAAAAGGTAACATTTACAGTAGTTCTCAACATAAACACCATCTCAAATAAATTGAATCAATCTGTGTTTGATGGTACAACAGAGCCAGGAACAGTATTCTCTTCTTCTTGCCTCTTATAAACTGGTAGAAAAATGGTTTCTGGACTATTTACTGTAGCAGACTGTTCAAAGTCAGGACAATATCATTGCTGGAATCTTGCTGCTGAAGCATAAAAATGTCCCAGGAGTGAGGATTGTTAAATTGGTAGTTAAAATGTGCTATAGATTATAAATTTGTGGGGGGAATTTGAGCCGAGTGGCATTTCTACTGTACATATGATCCAAAAAGATCTTTACATATAATCTATTTCATGTGTAGCATCTCCAGGTGTGGTCTAATTACACAGCAATTTTTAAAATTTAAATGTGATTAGTCATTAAACATTTTAGGTCTAAAACGACAGACCATTATCTGACATTTAAATTCATATGTTCACAGCAAGGACTCCTTTGTGTGGCTGTAGTTCAGGGATAGCTAGAGCAGGTAGTCATAGGTTGGCATTTTCCTAACCAGTGTATATGCACAGGTGTGAAGTAAAAATGTAAGTCACATTAAAAACTGTCAGCCAAATCTAATGGAATAATTTCTACCTTGAATCAAAGGGACTTTACCCCTTGGTTTGTAAGAATATATAGTTATACAGGCAGTCCCACTGACCTTTTTGAAATAAGTTTACAAATTATCTTGTCACTGAATTATTTTAAAGTAAGTTATCATCTGAATATCAAGTGTGATGTCTCTGGAAATGCAATTTAAAAGATAATATAATCCTCAAAATGGCTACTTTGCATTAAGCCTTGATTTATTATGCCCCTGCTTATTATCAATAGTCCAGCAGTCCATAAGCACAGGAAAGTAGGCCAGTCTGCAGAAGACTAGCAATTTCCCTAGGAGGCAGATTCAGCACTTGCATATTATCACCACTGGAAGTCCCCTCAACTTGCAGCACCAAAACCTATGCCACACAGCTCTGTCCTCTGGGTACAGGGGCACGCTGAGATGGTTGTGATTAACTGAACTAATTCACCGGAAATGTCTGTCAAGTCAAGCCAGTCATCTCACATGAGGGGTGGGACTGTGGTCAAAAATATAAATAAATAAAAGTCTGTGCCCCACTGTTAGGCTCCCATCATTATGCTGCCTGTTATCAATGATGTCTCATTATAGAGAGACAACATCACAACAGCTCATACTGCTCTATATTTATGTGAGGAAAAATCTGAAGCAGTTTAACATGAAGTGATGTGATCTTCACATTCATCCTGAGTCAAAGATATTCACAGAAGGTCATACTGTAGATGAAAACTGCTGCTGCTTTATGTGCGTTTGTTTTTCATGTCAAAATGAAATATTCAAAGTGGCTAAAGTAGGACATGTTAGGCAACATGGCAAAGGAACTATCCGACATTAGTAGCATCTCCCACACAAAAAACACACGCCCACACATACACACACGCGCACAAATGACCCCCAAGATAAAGAAAAATCCAGAAAATAAAGTTAATCAAATAACTGAAAAACACTCACGCATTTGCGGTAGGCTATCACCGCCATATCTCATAACAGCCTGCTCCTGAATCTTAACACTTACCTGCAAACAGCTGTCAGTCAAAGGCAACACATCCGCTCCATCCAGGTGACTTTGATTTGCATGTGCGGTTAGGTCCAAAAACACAACCAAACATGTTTTTTTAAAGCTTAGGAGACCTCGACGTGAATCTGAAGGGTGCATTGGAAAACGAATATTTTCTGTTCTATTAACTGATACATCAGATTAAAATCGATGGCTTATCCACAGAATTTATAACTATAATAAAGGGTCGTATGAAACCGGTCCGACAATGAGGTCCGGACAACACATTGGTCCGCCCGCCGCCGCTTCAGCACCGCTCAGGCTGACGGACATATGACGTCACAAAGGTTTTAGCCAATGAAGGGAGAGAAGCCCCTAACACCAAGAGTATCCAAGACACCTGGCAGGAAAAGAGTTAAGGCCTATAATAAATAGACTACATTCATATTTCTTTAAATAATGACACATTTAAAAAAACATGTAATTAATACGTAAATAAATTAAACAAACATCATGAGTAGGCATACTTTATAACTTGTAGGGGGGTTGTAGTACAGTGCCTGGAATTATAACTTCATGTTTTAATGATGTATCACTATTATGACACACTAATCCATAATTAATAACTAAATTCATTTAAAATACTACAGTAGCCTAAATATAGTAACAATAATTTATAGCCTATCATTAACATATTACTCATGATCTAATATTCACAATTCCTCATTTATAACTTAAAATAAATGTAATTTAATATTTCACCACTTAAAAAATAAATATTTTTAAAGGGCAGAAGGATTTTGTTGAACTTGGTGTTCTTGTGCACATTCAGTAAATGATGAATAAAGACAGTGTAACTCTAAACCAAATGACCGTTGACCTGTAAAGTGAGTTCATAAAATACTTCGATCAGTAAACAGCACAGTGGTGGGCACATCATAAATGTGCCTGTGCCATACTCCTCTCATTAAACCTGGCTAAGCTCGCCCTCCACTGGTGAAAATGAGCAGTCAGTGCTCGGCCTCTGATGCATCCATTTTCAAGGATGATTGTACAAGATGTAGCTACCATGTGAATGAGCCCGGATATATTTCACTTCTAAAGCCATAACCCACATGGTACTAATGCTGTTCTTTGATGTTGGCATTAAAAAGATCATCCTCACTTACAAAAAGACAGGGGTTGTTTCCTTGTTCATAGCATGCTCATATATGAAAGTCATATATCATCATGAATCATGAAAATGTTCACCTAATGAAAAATAACAGCAGTTACGTCTTCACTCTGAATTAGCCCATGCTTTCCCCTGGCTTCTCTCTATTTGAGCTGCTCCTCTGTCAAGCATTAGGCTTGTTAGATGTGAACAAGGAGGTCTGAGGTCTGAGCTAGTTTCTGCATTCACACAGATGTATCAACTCTAAAATGGCCTTTATATAGATAAAGAACTATTTCATTGTGCCTAAAAAAATATAATACAATTAGTATTTTAATATAAAAAAGCCCCCAATTTTTAATCACTCTACAGCAGATTTTGTTGTTGTTGTTGTTGCTGTTTTAGTTAATCCACTGTGAAAGAGTAGAAGGAACTGAGGCACATTTTAATTGTCTTTGAATTTGTTTTACATTTAAAGACAAACAAAATTTGGCCAACACAAGCTCTTAAAAGGTTAAATATATTTAGATATTTACATTTCTTACAGTATGTACAAATAAATATACAATAACATGAACCAATAAACTCGGAGCACTTCGCAAACTTTGCTTGAATATTTATATTTCCAATTTCAGATTTATACAACCTGTAAGATGTTCTGCCAGATTTTTAAGAAATTGTAAAAATCAAAATCACTGTAAATTGAGTGATCTGACTTATCATATGAATCCTGCATTTACAGCTTTGTTTTGCTGCAGTACAGTGATTTTTGAGACAGATAACTTTAGTCCACATGGCAAATGTTTGTTCTGTAGTAACCCTGCTGGAGTCATGCTTATGTATCTCTTCTTTAAGTGGATATCCTGAAGGAGCAAATATTCTTCCTGTAAAGATAAAGAGGAACTTTACTGTATTGTCATTACTTTGACTTTGCCCGTGCCATGCAAAATGCACATGGACACAAGTTCACATGCTACACAAATACATTGTTAATATATTAATATTAATAACATTGTATACAGTATGTAAAAAGGATTGTGTATTTAATATTTGTGGGTGCATCACATTTCATTTAAAGAGATAAGCCCCTAAAGTTGTGAATATAAGTATTCCTAAACATATCTGTGCAGATTCCTAAACATCAGTTTTGATCGTTGTCTGTAAATGCAGGAGGAGGTTTGGTGTCTCCTTAATGTGCCAAATGTCTGATTACTTAAACTCTGCTGTACCTGCAGTATTTTGTGCCACACTCCAAGTGATCCCAGCAGCTGGCGCCAACAGGCTTCATGCTGTTCCAGCGCCACAGCAGTGAACGTTTGGTGCGCTGGATCAAACCATTCCAGCCTTCAGACAGAGGTAATGAATTGACCTGTAAAGGCAAATATGTTTGAAGAACTTATGATGACCTTAATAATGCTGTATGGTATACTGTACAGTAATCAAATCCAATACTTTAACCTCATCAAAAATCAAAATCTATTTCACACTCTAGAGAATCACAAGAGTTATTACCTGAATGGCACAGATCAGAGACAGGAAAATATAAAGAACAATGATTTTTTCCTGAAGAGTCCTCATATTGTTTGCAGATGACGTTCAAGAGAGATATGCAGCATAACAGGTGTGTTGACCCATGCCACTTGCATTAAAGGCTGTAGCTGAGTTGGGGAGGAGTCACCCTCAGACAGATCAAAGAATAATTAACCTATTTACTACATTAATGACTAAGGATGAGGTTTGGCAGAGGTTCACCTCCAGTCAGCAAAGCACACCTGTCTGCATCATGGAACTTTTTAAATTATAAGGTCAAAGTTTATCTGAAGGGAGCCAAACTACACTTTAACCTGGGAATTGAGGACAATTCCACGTCGAAGGTGTGTAACCAAAACTTTAACATGTGGAATGTGTCACTGTAGACACGTACCCATCTGCATCACTGGAGGCTCCAGTTCATCTGAGCTACACCATTTGGACTGTGGGGGAAAAAAAACTGATCAAAATACATCATTTTACAATTTACAGTAATGAGCACTTTAAACATTATCACATAATTTCATGGGGGAAATACAAACACACCTTCAAAGAATGTGAAGCACACTTATTTTATTGACGTTTTAGCAAGTGACAACACAATGTGCAAACTGTAAGATGTGACATATTACGAGTATGTAAACAGTGATTACATGTGAAGTGTTGATTGTGGGAGTAGTAGTGTAAACAATGTTATCCTTAACATATAAAACAAATTCCACAAAAACATTAATACAACACAATTTATGGGCCTGAAACAGTGGTTGATAAAACTGGGAAAATAACACACTAGTGACATTCCATGCAGTCAGAACAGAAACTCTATTTTTTCTTTGTAGGAACAAATGATCCAAACAACCATAGCCTAATAAAATATCAAAATGACCATCAATCATCTCTAGCTCCTTAAAGAAAAAGTATTTTTATATTTGACAAAATATTTATCAGTAGTGTTACTGGCATGAAGCCGTTAACTTATTTTAGCATAATACACATACCTGGAAAAATAACCTTCCCTTTATACTGCCACTGTTTCAATAATACTATTTCAAGATTCAAGATTTGGCTATTATTCCACATTACATTATTTATGTGCACAGATTATCATCTTTCTAGTGGAAGACCCAACATAGTGCAAGGTTTGAAAGTGAAACTAATCTACTTCAACACAGATTCAAAGCTCCAGATCCTGTAGGAGACTGAATGATAAGTCTAAACCAAAAGCATCAATGAAATGAGATTTTCTCCAAACATCCAAACGCTGAGACATCACCTTGAGTTGACAACAACAAATTTTAGGCTACAGAAATTATGTTCATCTCATTAAGAATAAAACATCCGCCACTGCTTGACTTTGCTATTCACTTTGTTTATGCCTAGACAATGAAGCAGTGTGAAATGCTGACGTGGCAAAGTTAGAAGAAATTTTTCTGCTACATTACTTGGTAGTGTTGCCTAAAGTCTCTCGCTGGACCACTCAGAAACCTGATTATTGGCATCTTTTTAAAACATAATCTGACGTGTTTCTTCAATTACTCCAGTTCAGTGTCCATGTCAAATAATGACACTTGCACTACTTTTGCGCTAAAACGTTTGGATTAGTTCCGAGTCAATTCTCCGGGAAGTCCAACAATATAAATTATATTTTTTAGTCAAATTTTATGAATTTATACAATTTATTTAAAACTCAGATCTTAGATTTAGAAATAAAAAAAAAAAAACAAGTTTATGACTTAATAAAAATACATCCTCACAGTGCTCTTCACTTTTTCCTAACACCACAAAAAATCCTGATTTAAAAAAAAAAGAAAAAAAAAAAAAGATACATTTTTAAAATTCTGATTATCAGTGGAAACTGTTACTTGGCGGTTAATCACAAAAGCTGCAGAACCATTTAACTTGTGAAATGTTGAACTACTCTGTAAATACTGTATAAGAAGTATCTTCTTTTCACATTCTGTTCAGTGCTAAGATGAGAGCAGGGGCTGCCGCTCAGCAGCAGAGCTCTGAAACAGACACACAAAGGTTAGCTGAAGACATTGCTGAAATACATGTCTAATTGACAGAAAATTAATCAACAAGAATTCCGATAACTGATTCATCTTTACGGTTAGCTAGTCAAACAGAAATGGCAAATATTCTCAGGCCCAGCTTCCAAATGTAAAGATTTGGTGCTTTTCTGTGTTTGATGCCATTTTAAAATGAGTCTCTTTTGATTTGACCTGGTGATGGGCATTTTTCACTGTTGTTTTGGACTTTTTAGACTAAATGATTAACTGATTAGAGAACAACCTAATCAATAGATTTAATGATAATGAAAACAGCTCTAATTACCCCACACACTGGCTTAGGTCAATCTCAATCACTCACCTCTGGGACCTTCTGCCGACACATCAGGAACATGAAGACTCCGCCCAGAATGATGCCTAGACCAATCAGCATGAACGGAATGTTTATCATGACATTCTGTTGGGTAACAACCCCATGCAGCTTCGTGGCTGATGTGTCGTCAATGACCACGCTCTAAGAGAATGGTAAGAGAAAAGATACAAATACGTAACAAAGAAAACACTTCCACAGGTCAGACAACTGTTATTCTTTCATTTCATGTTTTAGTTTATAAAGCTAAATAAGGTCATGATATTTTATAAGCAATAAAATAATAAATCATGAAATTTAACCACTGCTAAATGCTTCTCTTGGATATTGAATTTATAGCATAGAAATAATTTACAGTGAAAAACATCTTTTTGGATTTTTTGTTGTTTGATCTCACTGATGCACTAATCACAATTTTCCAAAGCTTTATTCTAAGTCATATAAAATGAATAACTGACTTTTCAGGATTCATAAAATCAAATTCTTCAATACTGAAAAATCAGGTTGCTCAAATTAAAATCAGTCAAATTCATACACCAAAATTCACAATTAACTAGAATTACCGCTTCACAGTTGTATGCCTCCACCAACCAGTCAAACCTTTGAGTCCAAGTGGACGCTTGTGGGAAGTTTGAAGAAATTCCCTCAAAATGTTCCTGACATATCGCATTCACAAGAATGGGCCATACGGACGGACAGACAACCCGGAAACATAACGCCTCTGGTTGCAGCTATCGCCAGCTAACAATTTGAAAACTCAAATTGGAACATGCAGGCTATCAACAACAGATGAGACTTCTGTCTGGTCAGGTTAATGCTCGTCAGTCAGATGATCCAAGGAAAAATGTTTCAATAAGTGACTGAAAACTTTGGAGTTTCTGATTTTACTCTAAAAATTTTACAAAGGGCAAATTAAACGACATACTTTCATACAGATGGTGTTTAACATAACATTTCAGTGCTATGATGGTGACCTTTCACATTTTAACAATCAGTATTTAGATTGGTATGAGCTGGATGCCAGCTGGCATCCAGTGTATGACAGAGACAATTTAGACAAAATGTTTGTGTGTGTTTGTAGAGTACCTCATTTAGATAAACCACAGGAAAGACCACAGTCCTCACACTTCCTGTTTGACTATAAAAGTAAAATAAAATTATTCATTACTGTGCATCTGTTTGTTCTGCACTATTAATATCATACTGTTTATTCTTTCAGATGCCAAGTAGATGCATAACAAGTGAGACTGTCCAAAAGTCCATTTATAATGGTGTCGGTGGCATAATTGCTTTACTGTTATCTAAGCAGTAAGCGTACCCAGAGTTACAGTAAACAGCCACATAGCGATTACAGTTTCATTTGAAGTCAATGTGGTGGCAGGCATTTGTGACAAAAAGAAGCAGTATATTATTACTTCAGACTGATGAAAAGTAATGAGCTGATTACCTGAAGGTGGAAATTTTCTCTACATAGGCGTTGATCTGGAGCCGCTTTGCTGCTTGCAGAATGATTCCCGTTAGCTGCAAAACCGAATTAAACTGTGTTTAACAGGGTTTTAGAAAAACTCAACAGTGCTGACCTGTGAACATAACTATACTCAAACCTGGCACTTCTGGTGACAGGTTTGCATATTCAGCATCAATATTATACGTTGTCAAGACAATGTATCATGAAGATCTTGCAGCCAATATATTCCAGTAAATGTATTTTATGAAAATGGGCAGAGATGATCTGAGAGCTAAAACACCAACCCATGTGTATATACACTTGTGACTGCTGTAACAGGTCTATATCTGTGTTTTTATCCATGGAAGCCATGTAAAAACAATACAGCTTTTGCTCTAGGCATGAAGTGGTACAGAGCATCGTGACACAATATTTATGACAGAAGGCAAAGGACGTTGATTAATCTCAATAATCATATGCAGTGGCACGTTGAAGATTACAGTACAGGATGGAGGACAAACAGACAAAACAGAAACTTCTTTCACTGGGTCCAAAGACTTCTTATGAACTTATAATGTCACAACCTTACAGTTAATGTAGATGTAATGTATGTGAATTAGTATGGAAATATATGTCACAGTTGCATGTCTAGGTAAATATACACATTTCTCTATTTTCAATATTCTACAGTATTCCTTTCCTGAAAAATATCACCATCTTTGATATCACAATAACTAAACAATAACTAAATTGTTAAAATTTTTCGATTTAGTGGGATATAAGACTGCTGTGTTTATATATAAAGCCAGGAACAATTTATTACCTGGTGGAGTTCAAAAACTATTTAATGAAAGGGAAGGGGGATACAATTTAAGGGGTCAGTTAAATTTAAAAATTCATGCTATACATACAACCAAAAAAAGATTTTGTATTTCCATAAGTGGGGTAAAACTATGGAATAATTTAAGTGTAGACATAAAAAATAGTAATAGAATTGATGAGTTTAAACATAAATATAAAGGTATGTGTCAATCAAGATATATGCAAGAACAGGCTCAATGATTAATTAGATGGAACATTGTGGGTGTGGGGTAAGAATGTTAACACTTTGTAATAATTCTTTAGTATATTACTTGTGTGGTGTAGAAGATAATTATCTATGTAGAGATACTGCTTGCAAACCAATGATGGTAAGATGATGTCATGGGGTAGGACTGGATAAGTCTGACTTCTTCCTACTCCATTCAAGCATGTACTAGGTATAAGCACATTGATATTGGATTAGCATTTGTTGGATATGTGTAAAATTATGTGTTGACATATCAACTGTCTTTACATGCTTGAAAGAATAAATCAAATCAAAAATCAAATCAATCAATGGCATCACAATTCATTTTGCTTGATGAGGCAAACAAAGTTTAAGTTTACTAGATAATACATTACAAAATACATCAATGCAGACTGAAAAAAAAAAGAGTTAAAGTCATCATACAAAGCAAGTACTATCTGGCTGCCATAGAAAGATAATCTGATAAAAGACTTTCTTAACTAAACTGCACTATAATTAGACCTAAACTTATTTACCTAGATGGATTAAGAGACACTGGGTCTCTGGGCACAGACATGTAAGAGGCGCTGCAACCTCCTACAGAAGAGTAAGTCCCACAGAACAACTGCTTCTATAGTATTTGTGGCTATTTTGCATCTCTTGTTTTGTGACACCTTTTGGTTGTTTATCATTTCCTTTAAGTTATTTTGCTTCTCTTTTTAGTTGCTCTGTACCTCAAGTGGGGTTATGATGGTCTATGATTTTGTCTGAGAGATTGTTTTGCATGCCATTGTATCTTTTTGTGGCTTTGTTTGCATTTGTTTTACCTAATTTTGCATCCATTTCTTGTTAGTTATTTTACAAGAAATGTTACTTCATACAGAGGCTCTGGTCCAGGGGGCCCCTGGGCCTGTGCCCAATAAGGCTCATTCAGTAATCCATCCATGCTTATTTACTACTGTGCAAACCTTTATGTCTTTATAGTCAGTGTGCCTTCATGCAACACAGGAGAAAAATAAAGTTATAAACTTTGTAGTAAAGGCCCTGCATTAAACAACTGTTAGGTAACATCCTTTGAATAATTTACAGTACATCATTCCTTGGTTTCACCATGGGGTTTATCTATCATCCCCTGTTCTTACAGGTTTACTACATTTTAATATTTGGAGAGTTCTTCAAATAGCTACCCCACTTCTACAGGAGTCCTACTAATTCCGTAGCGGCGAGCAGAATCCAGCTGCACACTGCACTGCTGGAAGTGTTTTTCAGTCCACTTCTCTTTGTAACAGATAACAGATTTACCACAGGTTCAACCAAGTTACTAATAGACATGATAAGAGCACTCAGAGCTTATCTTTGATGACACATCCGTACCAAGTACCCCTGCATTAATCTTTAACCACTTTTTAAAGCTGATAACCTCTGGCTTGAAGTTACAGCTAAGATAGTTTGTCCCATTTTAAAGTTTCAAATTCATTTACTAGATTGTAGTTGTTTTTCTACATGAAAACATATTTGTAATTCCTACCGGATTGATATCTATGGCCGTCTCATGATGCTCCTTCTTGGGCCTCATGCCAAAAACATCCTGAACAAATTTGTCATCTGCCTGGTAGAAGTGTGGTAGAGACATTATGATAGGCGCTCCTAAACACACAAAAGATCCAGTTAGAACAACTGTTATTCGTAATAAGCAGCAGATTCAGGAAAACAGCAGTTCTGGTGAAGAACCAAGACTGTCTTCATCACAATGAAAAACATTTGCCTACGGTACGTGACACAATGAATCACTGTTCTGTTCTCGTTCTCCCCCCCCCAACTGCTTATTGCACTTCCCACCTTGTTTACATGAGCTGACGTTTAGCAAGCCAGATCCTAGGCAGTTTCCAGCAGGGACACAGAAGCCCATGTTGGCTGGGTTCACAGACAGATTGGCAAACACCTCACTGGGGGGAATGAAGCGATACCCAGGGATCCCCTTCACTGTCACGTCCTCCTCATACACAGCATACAGAGACCTTTGCAAAAGTCAGGTGCTGGTTAATATTTCTGCCACAAATTAATTCTACAAAGCTGATTGTGCAAGAAAAGAGGGAGGGATTGCAGTACATGAATTCTGTGGTCTAATTTTCATGCTATTCTCAACAGGCAACAAAATTTATCATAATGTTTAAAACTGCAGTGACATTTCCAAACTCAGTTCAAAACTTTGACATGTTTAGAGAAAAAAAACACAATATCTTAAAGGGATTTTACCTCTAAGCAAAAGTTCATCAGCAAATGATATGCACATCCATGGGATTTGTGAACACTGTTGTATATAACAATAGCATCAACCAGTGTCATCTGAACTTATTATGTATAGATAATGGTATATACTGACGCTTGCCAAGAAACACTGGGGAGAATATTGTATTTAGTTTTCCAGCAGAATGGCCATGAGCCTTGTGTGAAACACTTTGCGTACCTGCACAAGTCAGAGGAAAACATGTAGAGCGTCTCATTCTTGGCGATGACTGGATGGAAAGATGCTCCATTGGTTCCATTAATCATATTACACTCGTCAGATGTCCAGAAATGCAGTGAACTACATGCAACACACAAAAAGTGATATCAGTAATCTATTGTTTACATCAGTTTGTCATTCATGAATTTAAAAAAAGTTTCAGTCAAGACGAGCATCCAACCACCATCAATTTTCTGTGGTTACCGTGACTGAAAGATTGCTTATCAACTTCATAATCAAGAAATATTGTGAATGTTTTAAATGTGTGGGCTTACAGTAGATCAAGACTGGACATGTTTATATGTCAGAATAAGCTTTGCTATAGCTGCTACAGCTTTTGCTAAACAGCAGTCCTTTTGTATGTTAAAGGAATAATTCAACATTTTGATCATTGTGTCTTCTGGCTGTAGCTTCACAGTTAACTGACAGACACTGGATGAGAGTGTCGTCAGTATTCTCATCTAAATGTCTACAAGATAACAAATACATATATTACCTAAAATGTCACAGTATTCCTTTAAGTGCATTTTTATCTGGCTAGCAAGTTCAGTGCAGAAGATCACCATTATCGCTTACTGAGAGACCCAAGACAAAAGTCTGAAACTATTAGGTTCTTCAAGAGATATACAGTATACGAGGGAAAGCCTATTAGGGCAAAAAAGAAGATTAACATTGGTTGGCTTTTTTAAATCCATTGCCCTGGGGAAAGACATAAGGACTGTGAGTGATATTGTTTTCTGTTGCACAAATAACCAACTGAGTTAGCTGCGTTGACCAACTACTGACCTAAAAAAAATAGTTGAATTAATCATTACACAGAGTAGATAAGCTCTGGAACAGTGTCATATCAACTGTGATATGAAAATGTCAGGAAAAGAATCAACAGGATACATTTTGTGCTCTCAATGTTATCAGACAGGAAGAAACAAGACTTTATCATATTCCTGTGTAAATCACTTGTTTTTCATCCATTTAAATTGCAAATTTCCGGGGATTTACACAACAAGAGATCTTTATATCACTTTGTAATGGGGGTGAGTGGAAATAACTACCTTTCACCGTTCCAGGTATCCACTCTAGCAAAGTCCTTGTAGCTTTGCTGGCCAGTGAAGAACACATATTCACCATCGTTGGAAGCATTAGAAGAACACATATTCACCATCGTTGGAAGCATTACTCTGTTTAAAAAAAAAAAAAAAAAAAAAAAGGAATAATTTTAAAAAACAGCTCTCATGCAAAAAAGACTATCTCTATACAGTATGTTTCTAATCATTTTATTAATATGAATATTGAATTATGTATTCAAATGAGACCTTATAGAAGAGACCAAAAACATCATCCAGCTCAGGGTCAAATGTTTTGAGAGCTTTAAGCAGGTTATCCACATATCCCCAGAGCAGCTCTCCCACTGTGCGGGTGGTAAACAGGCCTTCCTCATTGGACCTCATGTAGGAGGAAATCAGGTTGGCAAAAACAGAGTTGTCCTTAAATTTCTCCATCACTGTCTACGAGAAGAGAGGAAAAAAAGTGGTCTAGTTAAAGGAAAACTGCTGTGTAAAACTTTAAACTGCATAAGATACAAACCCTGCATCATAGGATTTCTATATAGTAAATGTTATAAACTAGATAATTTTTGCACTTTTGAGACAATCAGTGCCCTCTTTATTGGAGACCAAATCATCTAATTCATCACATTTTTTGAGGAAGCAGAGCAACTGGGCTATGAGCCAATATCTATTATAAAATACTGCATATTTTATAATAGATATTATAGCTACATCCTGAGTGTGCCATTATTCCAACTAATGAAGTACTGTATGTTGCTACCCTCTAATACAAATTAAATAAAAACAGAAAATAAGATTCATGTGACTCAGTTAAACAGCACTAGTAATTCAAGGATGTACTTGGCTCACCATGGCAGGGATGTTGACTGTCCTGATGAGGTCACTCTCTGGACCCCAGGACATGTTGGGCTGGAATATGTAGGTTTTTGTGTTGACAGCTGTTACTTTAGTGCCATTATCACTGAAACTCACTTGCTCCATAAGCCGGTACTCCCTGCGTAGAAAATAAAACAACTGGATTAAAGTGGAAAGAAGTGAACTGTTGACAGCTATTCCAACACATTGGCTATGAGACAGCCAAAAGATGTGTCCTCAGGAGAAAAAGCAGCAGTAGGACCGTAAGTAAATGGACTTTCAACTTAAAATGGTTTACTAACTTGACAGTTTGGCTTCTTCTGTTAATTTTGTTAATGTGTATTGTTAACAGGTTAGGAAACAAATGGAGAAACAAAAGTTATGCTTTTCTCTGGTTCCTCTTTCACCTGTATGTGTATGGCCCAATCTCCACCACAGCGGGCCTCTCCCCAGCCAGCATCTCTGCGGGATTTGTCAAATTGAAGAAATAAAACTGCATGTAGACAGGTGCTGGTGGATTCTCCCAGGCCTCGAATGCCTCTGTGCCATTATTCAAAACAACTTCCTATGGGGAACAAAGGGCAGTGGGTTAGCCTCTTCTCCTGCACAGTCACAAAAAATGCATGACTTCAGACAGTTTCTCTTCTGCTGACTATGCTGTCCTCACATTGATTTGATTTGATTTATTCATTCAAGCATCTAAAACAGTTGATATGTCAACACATGTAATTTCACACATATCCAACAATAATAATCCAATATCAATTTACTTATACCTAGTACATGCTTGAATGGAGTAGGAAGAAGTTAGACTTATCTAGTCCTACCCCATGACATCATCTTACAACTTTTAAGTCCTAAGCAATATCTCTACATAAATAATTATCCTCTACACCACACAAGTAATAAACTACAGAATTATTACAAAGTGTTAACATTCTACATAATTACATTTATAGATAATTATCTTCTACACCACACAAGTAATATACTAAAGAATTATTACAGAGTGTTAACATTCATACACCACACCCACAATGTTCCATCTAATTAATCATTAAACCTGTTCTTGCATATATCTTGATTGACACATTGACATATTTATGTTTAAACTCATCAACTTATGTTCAAACTCACTATTTTTTATGTCCACATTTTAATTATTCCATAGTTTTACACCACTTATGGAAATACAAAATCTTTTTTTGGTTGTACGTATAGCATGAATTTTTAAATTTAACTGACCCCTTAAATTGTATCCCCCTTCCCTTTCATTAAATAGTTTTTGAATTCCACCAGGTAATAAATTGTTCCTGGCTTTATACATAAACACAGCAGTCTGATATCCCACTAAATCAAACAATTTTAACAATTTAGACTGTATGAAAGCTACATTGGTGTGATCCCTATACCCCATCTTATGCACAATTCTTATCGCTCTTTTTTGTAATATATACAATGGTTGAAGTGAGCTTTTGTATGTATTTCCCCAGTTTTCAACACCATACTCCAAGTATGGTAAAATCAATGAAGAATACAAAATACGGTGCTTTCCCGTCTAAAATATATCTAACCATTGCCAATATCGATATATTTTTTGCTAATTTGTGCTGAATATATCTGATATGAGATTTCCAGAAGAATTTGTCATCAACTATGACACCTAGAAATTTAATTTCATATACTCGTTCTATATTAGCTCCCCC